GACAGTGGAAAAGGCGACAGCTGGATGCTAGGTAAATTAAAATCACCCATTAATATTACATTGGAAAAAGACAGGTTTTGCTCGTGCATAAAGTCACATAAAGCGTGTAAGTAATCAATGGGAGAGCCTGGAGGGCGGTAGACACCGCCAACAACTAAAGATCTATTTTCCACATTAAGTTTGCACCACACTAATTCAATCTGGTGAGGACCCAAAATAACAGGATGTGAATGATCGTCGTGTTTTCGACCTATTCTATGGCACCTTTCAATACGTGGGCAGTTAATATTCAGTTTGTCCGAGAATATTTCTGATATGTTAGAAAGTAGTGACTCACTAGTTTTGTCTGCCCTTTCCGTGAGGCCATGCAAGATTAGAGTATTTCTGCGCGAACGGCTTTCCAAGTCGTTTTTCCTCAAGACGAGTCTGTCTAGCATGTCAGACAATGATCTATAAGCAGATTGTCACAAGATGTGCCGGAGTCACTTGGCGCTCGCGCTTCAAGAGCGTTAAATTGGGAGTAACTGACTGATGGAATAAATTAACTTCAGCCATGCCTGGAGCCATTTTTTCCTGGCCAGCCAGCAATTCAGCACACTTATTCGAAACTGTGGGTTGTCTCTCGATATCTCCACCGTCATTATCGCTCTCACCCGAATTAGCAGCCCTCAGGTGCTCCCAAACTGAGCTGTTAATGGAACAGGACTTAGAAATCACGTTATCTTGTCTTAGGGGCGAAGCTCCTTAGGGTCTAGCCTTGTCCATCCATCCATCCGTCCGGCGTCCGTGCTCACATCGATTGCACTGGCTTCGGGATCAGCCCACTCTAAAAAAAAAAGGAAAAAAAAAAAAGACGTACATTCGCATGGGGGTTTCAACTCAGGAGCGCTTGTTTGCGATGCAGACGACTTATCCACTAAGCTACACTCCTTTTTTTTCTTTATTGCCTGATTTTTCAAACCAAACACTCACAAACACACATATTTCGTTCCATGTATCCGCTCAACGTCTATACAGGAGAGGGCGCTGCGGACAAGTGCGTATATAACCACGTTAACCTTTGCATGAATTGGCTCAACGTTTATAAACGAGAAGGCGCTGCGGTCAAATGTTCAACTGCGTATATAACCACGTTCCATACCACACATTCTCTTTCTGGCATGGACCGTTGACTTCAGTGGTGGACATGCGTTCCCACGGCTTCTAGTGGATCCAAGCTGATCCGCTAGAAGAACCACTGGCTCTGCATTTCACACACCATAAAGCAGTAATAATGAAGTCGAAACGCAACCCGGAACTCAGCACTACCTATGAGCAATACAAAAAATTAGCACCATCAGCACTACCTATGAACAATAAACTCAGTATCATCAGCACCACCAGAGCTTCGCCCCAATCAACATCATTCACCACGTGGAGATGGCCTCTTTTTTCTGTTTTTCTTTTCTTTAGTGTTCCTGGATTCGTTTCAACGTCTCCACTCAGGCGAAGGCCATTAATGGAATACACCAGCTCAAAGCACAAGTCACCAAAACAACAAATACCGTGATCGTAATTACGTGGGTGAGGAAATAGCAGTAAAAAGCGATTATCGGGCCATGCACAATCAGCGTTTTGAAGAGAACATACCTGCGAAAGAAGCAGACAGCGGCTGAGCATAATGTCTTCGCTGCTATTGCCTCGCCCACTGAAGAGGAAAGATGTTGGTGAAGCCTTTCTATCCTTGTTAACCGACGTCACAGAACTGGGTTTTTCGATGATTGGGCGATTCAGGGACATCGTTGAAGGGGGTGACTTGCAGATTCACGGTTTGTAGGCCGTTAAGGAAACCATGAACACCCTCGATTCTGCTGACAAGGAAGTCCGTGAACTAACTAGACGGGTTGACCACGCAACAAGGGACAGTTGACGAAGCAGGGAGGGCCGGCAGTCGCTGGTAGCCGTGCGCCACGATAGCATTGAACACAGGAAGAGCGAGGGACACGAAGAACTGCGAAAGAAGCAGACAGCGGTTGAACATACTGTCCTCGCTGCTATTGCCTCGCCCACTGAAGAGGCAAGATGTTGGTGAAGCTCTTCTATCCTTATTAACCGACGTCACAGAACTGGGCTTTTCGATGATTGGGCGATTCAGGGACATCGTTGAAGGGGGTGACTTGCAGATTCACGGTTTGTAGGCCGTTAAGGAAACCATGAACACCCTCGATTCTGCTGACAAGGAAGTCCGTGAACTAACTAGACGGGTTGACCACGCAACAAGGGACAGTTGACGAAGCAGGGAGGGCCAGCAGTCGCTGGTAGCCGTGCGCCACGATAGCATTGAACACAGGAGCAGCGAGGGACACGAAGAACTGCGAAAGAAGCAGACATCGGTTGAACATACTGTCCTCGCTGCTATTGCCTCGCCCACTGAAGAGGCAAGATGTTGGTGAAGCTCTTCTATCCTTATTACCCGACGTCACAGAACTGGGCTTTTCGATGATTGGGCGATTCAGGGACATCGTTGAAGGGGGTGACTTGCAGATTCACGGTTTGTAGGCCGTTAAGGAAACCATGAACACCCTCGATTCTGCTGACAAGGAAGTCCGTGAACTAACTAGACGGGTTGACCACGCAACAAGGGACAGTTGATGAAGCAGGGAGGGCCGGCAGTCGCTGGTAGCCGTGCGCCACGATAGCATTGAACACAGGAGCAGCGAGGGACACGAAGAACTGCGAAAGAAGCAGACATCGGTTGAACATACTGTCCTCGCTGCTATTGCCTCGCCCGCTGAAGAGGCAAGATGTTGGTGAAGCTCTTCTATCCTTATTAACCGACGTCACAGAACTGGGATTTTCGATGATTGGACGATTCAGGAAGACATCACTGAAGGGGGTGACTTGCAGATTCACGGCTTGTAGGCCGTTAAGGAAACCATGAACACCCTCAATTCCGCTTGCAAGAAAGTCCGTGCACGAACAAGCCGGGTTGACCATGCAACAAGGGATAGTTGACGACGCAGGAAGGGCCGGCAGTCGCTGGTAGCCGTGCGCCACGATACCATTGAACACAGGAACAGCGAGGGACACGAAGAACTGCGAAAGAAGCAGACAGCGGTTGAACATACTGTCCTCGCTGCTATTGCCTCGCCCAATGAAGAGGCAAGATGTTGGTGAAGCTCTTCTATCCTTATTAACCGACGTCACAGAACTGGGATTTTCGATGATTGGACGATTCAGGAAGACATCACTGAAGGGGGTGACTTGCAGATTCACGGCTTGTAGGCCGTTAAGGAAACCATGAACACCCTCAATTCCGCTTGCAATAAAGTCCGTGCACGAACAAGCCGGGTCGACCATGCAACAAGGGATAGTTGACCAAGCAGGAAGGGCCGGCAGTCGCTGGTAGCCGTGCGCCACGATAGCATTGAACACAGGAACAGCGAGGGACACGAAGAACTGCGAAAGAAGCAGACAGCGGTTGAACATACTGTCCTCGCTGCTATTGCCTCGCCCACTGAAGAGGCAAGATGTTGGTGAAGCTCTTCTATCCTTATTAACCGACGTCACAGAACTGGGATTTTCGATGATTGGACGATTCAGGAAGACATCACTGAAGGGGGTGACTTGCAGATTCACGGCTTGTAGGCCGTTAAGGAAACCATGAACACCCTCAATTCCGCTTGCAAGAAAGTCCGTGCACGAACAAGCCGGGTCGACCATGCAACAAGGGATAGTTGACGAAGCAGGAAGGGCCGGCAGTCGCTGGTAGCCGTGCGCCACGATAGCATTGAACACAGGAACAGCGAGGTACACGAAGAACTGCGATAGAAGCGGACAGCGGTTGGGTATACTGTCCACACTGCTATTACCTCGCCCACAATGATTTTTATAGGAAAGAGCACCCCTTCCCTCTCCTAGCAGATCTATTACATCTATACACACGAACGTTTGGGTACGTAGGAAAATGTTTAGTATCAGATATGTCAGGGCTTAGGCATGTCTCGGTAAGTACAAGCAAATCTGCGAAACAAGCTTCAATAAAAAAATCACATCGTCTTTTTTTGGTATCAAACATCTAATGTTAAGAAATAAAATAGAATAATAAAAAGGTTTGTTACTATATCATTGAGTTTTGCAAGTTGATTGAGTGACGAAAAACGAAATGAACGTTGGCATCGCTATGTACTTTTTTACTTTCACGGCACCAAGAGTGGCGTCAAGTACATAACATATTGTCTAGGAACAGCTTATAGTGACGCAGCTTGTAAGTCGTGACTTTATACTTGGCAAAATAATGTTCATGACGGCGTGCAAGTCGGACGGAAATTTAAAAATATTCACTGATAGCCACACGTGTTCCTCTGAGCTTCAATGCCGAAAAAGGGCCCTTTTATCCTTATATGAATAAAACTTCACAATTATAGGGTGAAACGTTTGCGGATTCAACTCTCCTAAGCGGCGCGCTCTTTCAGTTTTACTTGAGTCGACATTCACGCCTACGTTTCTGGAGCATAGGCCAGTTACCAAGCCCTCGTACTGAACCCACGTTTTCCTGTCGGTGTCAGTGACGCCAAAAAATAGAAGGTTGTTGCAGCGAGATTTGCTCTCCGTGTCGTCACAACGAGTTTTCAGCTGTGAAAGTTTGTTTACGGCTGTAGTAGGCTGAGGTTCGGTAGGTGCGATGGCTACCGATGTCCTTCTGCTTTAGTAAGTCGAGTCCAGTTGTGCGGTTGTTAAAGCGCTCTTCTACCGTGTAGTATAGATGGTGTCAGTGCGCTGTCTTGTCGCCAGTGATTTCAAGAGGCCGCATTTCACTTGGTCATAAGCAATCGCAAGTGTGCGAACGCTCCCTTACGCGGTTCACGTCCTGCGCTTTTCTCTCGCAGGGTACGCTTGTGCTTGTTTCGTGTGAGCCAAAAAGTACCGTACGTTATATTCCCAGAATAAAAACGTCACGACGTAGGCACACAATTGAGGTGGCGCGCAGAGGTTACCCTGCTCGCGCGTGTGTTCCGCAGGCAACCTGCCTGGGGCTGATGAAGCGGGACGTGCCGGACGTGCCTGCCTTCTTCTTGACCTCGCTGGGCAAGCTGCACGCTCACGGGGTGCCCCTGCAGCTGGAGCCCCTGTTCCCCCGGGTGCCGTGGCCCGTGCCCCGGGGGACGCCCAACGTGGCCCACCTGGTCAGCTGGGACCACTCGGAGTCCTGGTCGGTGGCCACCTACAACGACTTCCCCACCTCGACTCAAGTGGGTGTGACTGCAACGCCCGCAGGGAAAAGGCCGGTCTACGCACTTGCGTCTGGTTGTAACCAATCGCGTTGCGCATCATTTCGCTCCCTGTTATTGCCGAAACATTTTATTTTATAAGAAAAGTGACTAAGCTGGTCTTTTGCATGACTGTATAGGGCGTGCATTCAACCAGGAAAAACTCGAGTTGTTAGGCGATTTTAAAGCATCTGGACAAGTCTGGGAATTGACGGGAAATCGTCCACAACTGTTAATTCTGAGAAAATAACCAAGGAAGGCGGCGCGGCGACACGCAACAAAGTGAGACGGCGTGGCTTGAGGTGGTACAGATGACCCTCGCGCCTTGCGACAGTTGCCCGAGGTAAGACTGTGCAGATTTAGCCACTACTCGACTCGCCGAAATAACTAGGAACAGTCCGGACATCCTCTGAAAGCCCATCTTCTGCAGATTCGTAATGATCGGGTAGGTTTATCGAAATACTCGGTAAAAACCCGGTAAAGTCGGGTAATTCGAAAGAAACAATTTCGTAAACACTTTGTCGTAGTCATCCGAGCGGTCCGGTCTCTGCAGTGCAAAAAAGGTCGCGGGTATATAGCCTAAGCAACATAAAACACCATTGAGCCGGCTAAAAAAAATTGCATGATCGCGAGTCTAGCTCGAGAAACGTACATTCCTCTATAGCCGGCTAAAGCACATTGAATACTTGCGGATCTATAGCACTAAGGAAATACAATTTTTTATAGCTCCCTAAAGGAAATTGAATAGCCGCGAGTCTGTAGCTTCTTATGCATATATTGTTATAGCTAGCTATAATAATCTGAATGGTCGAGATTCTATACCTTTGAAGAAATAGATTATTTTATCGGTGGCTATAGCGTGTTTCATGGTTTTTATGTTTTTTATGGTTCACCATAGAAGGCCATAGAAGGTAATAGCATACCATAGGATTTTCCAAAGACGTCCATAGACCATTTTCGTATGGGAACTCAAATGCCATTTAGGCCAAAGCCCTTCGGGATTCCCCAAGGTCATTCAATCTTTCGGGTGTCAGACGTGTCGGAGAACATCTCTAATGCCATTTACGATATGCTTATTGCAATTCTAGTTTTCCATTTGTTGGAGGAAACGTTCACTTATTTAGCGAAGTGAATGACTCCATAAAATAAAATTGCTGGTGTATTGTCATTTATTTTTGCACACAATATTATGGGTTGTCTTTATATGAATTGTTTTGATGATTACACGTGTTGCCTTGGCTAGCGAAGCAACTTTGCTTGGTACGGGCTGGTACGAGCCGCTCTAAAGGCAACAAGGATGTTCCCGTGCGAAAACCGTCCATTGTTCCTCGGCTTGAGAGTCTGTTCTCTGTTCGGTTCCTTTTCCGCTCGGTCCCGAAGCCGCAGAGAGTTGACCAATCATTGGCCAATGGCTGGTAATGGTCATTTGCCCAGTGACCAGAGAGGGGCCGGAGATAGGCCAATGGCTGTCCTTTTTCTGTTCATTGGCCAATGGCCACTGGCCATCAGCCATCGGCCAAGCATTGGCAAATGGATGGCCACTCTTCGGCCACTGGCCAAAATACCATCGCCAACCGTTGGCCATTGCTTGGCCAAAATCCGTGCTGTTCGGGTCTGCTCTGTTTACTCCGCCGATTCCGGTAGTGTCGACAATGGAGCCTTCGAAACCGCCAGAGGCTCAAGTTACTGTTCTTTTTTGTATGCCCGCGCAGCAGTAAAGCATTTTGTCTGCCATCCGAGCTGTCGTGTCATCGGCAAAAAGTAAAGCCGATCGCTTGAAGGGCCAGATGCTGGCCTTCCAAGCAAAATACAGAACAATGCAAAAGTAAAGTTATAAAACGAAACCATAAGCGAAGCAGAAATGAGAACACAAAAACAAGATCAAGAGCGAAGATATAAGGGGTGAAAGGAGAGCGCAGTGATGAGCAGTGAGAGTACGAACAGGAAGGAACAGAGGAGAACGTGATTGCTGTGCCAGCGAGTATAGATATACGTAAAAAGGACGCTAAAATCGCTCTGATGTAAGCAGACAACTTCATTAATTTCATTACTATTTATTTAAACTGACGATTTTTTGAACAACGGTATCTATTTTTTATTATTTTCGTAGTCATCCGTGATCGCTGCCGACGAGAGTAGGCAGTTTACGAGTTAAGGGAGTTATTGTAACTCCGTTGATGGTAAATGTCATTCAGCCCGAATAACATCTGACTTGCGTGTCTGACACCGCCAAAATGGCATTTGAGTTAAAGGACATTTACTCCAAAGACATTTAGGACGCCCGCCTGATAGTGGTGTTAAAGGGGCACGGAAACGAAATGTTTGCACTTTTATTTCTTTGTTTAGATGTGGTCCATATTGTTCCGGCCACCCAGAAACACTAGCCTAGACTAGTGTTTCTGGGCTGCAAGCAGAAAATTCAAGAAAACTAGTTTTAAAACGAATGAACAGATTTTAAAATTTCGTCTGGTGGCGGTCTGTGAAATCTCGTTGGAAGGCAGTCACGTCATGAGTTTCTAAGAAGCAACGCCAGTCCGCGGCAGTATAGACCGATTGCTATATTACCCAAGCATCAAGGAGAATACAGGGATTGGCGTTCCACGCACCACACGCGCAGGCCTTCCCCTTATAAAAGATTCGACCTAAGTACCGAAAATAAAGCGCTGACGAACGCGCGTGCAAGATGCCATTTGTTTGAGGCATTTGCTTTAGAAACGTTACTGCTGCTGAAACCAGCGCGTGCGGCGCGTGGAACACCAATCCTTGCTTTCTCCTTGATGCTTTGGTAATTTAGAAATAGGTCTATAGGAGGTATTCACTGGACGCCGTATTTGAGGGCGATGTTTAGAGCGCATGCTCAGAACGAGCTCACATTAATAGCCTGCTAAGACCGGCAACCTTGATGGTGCTAAATGCACGCTCCAAAAGGACTGCGGAAGCTCGCCGTCAGCACGCGCTCAGCAGCAGCGCACACAGATGTGGCCGCCACTGAATACTCGCTATTGGAGTTAGCTAGCCCTGGATGGGACTTGGCGGAGAACGCTCATAAGCTGAGATTGCAGTCAAAACCACCAGCGCGAGCTAGCCCGCGCTCCTGGCTTTGAGACATGTATTTCTAGCACGAGCGCTCTATCGTTCTGCGAACAACGCCTCAAAGCAGCAACCTCGAGCTCTCGTGGTTGTCGCATTGGCTGCAGTCTCAGCTCCACGGTGCTTCTGCAACATGCATTCCACGCCATAGAGTTTGACGTTCTTTGCTGACGCTAGGTAAGAGCTTGATCTGAGGATGCGGGGACCTTTGTCAGTCAACCATACGCCATTGCTGGGTACTGACGACTACTTCTTCTTACTGGTTCCCTTGAGCCACTACTTCTGCGGAATGAAACTAATACGGTGAAGCGAACGCTTGTGGCACAGAAAATACCGACATGACCGCAAATGACGTTGCGGGCAAGCTATACGTATTCACGGTGAGAAGCTGGCAAGGGGCGCTTCTGTTTTCCTCACTCTGAGCAGTGCACATGCACCCACACGGTTATGTTTTGTTTTTCATATTGCATAGAAGTTGTCATTGCACGTGCTTGCACCAGCAGAAAAAATTCAAGTATCATCACTCTTTGTTGTGAATGAAGTCGCCGTCGGCGTAACGTAACCGCGCGGTGCATGATGGATACATTTCCCCGCTAAATTTAGCGGAAAAGTTTTCCCGCAAAATTTAGCGGGAACATTTCCCCACTAATTCTAGCGGAAACGTTTCCCTGCTCAATTTAGCGGAACATTTTCCCCGCTGAATTTAGCGGAAAAAAATTCCTAAATTTAGCAGAAAAATTTCCCCGCGACATCTAGCGGAAAGTTTTTCCCGCTAAATTTAGCGAAACAAATTCCCCTCTAAATCTAGCGGAAAATTTTTCCCGCTAGGTCCTAGCGGAAAATTTTCCCCACTAAATATATCGGAAAAATTTCCCCGCTAATTTAGCAGGAAATGTTTTCCGCTAAATTTAACGGACAGTTTTCCCCGGTAAATCTAGCTGAAAATTTTCCCTGCTAAATCTAGCGAAACATTTTCCCCGCTACATCTAGCGGAAATTTTCCCCCAAAATGGGAGGCAAGCAGGAGAGTAGGAGGGGCATAGCCCCCTCTCCGTACCTTCCCCTCCTCCTCCTCCTCAAGAGCTGCGCTCTAATTCGGCGTTAGAGGGGATCATAAACGGCTTTAATTTTTTAGACTGATCTCCGAAACGTCATTGTGGTTATACCCCCCTGGTGATAGCTACGAAATTGCAGAGGGTAAGCAAAAAGAAGGAAGGAAACAGAGCATACTTTTGGTTCTTCATTTCTAGGGTAGGTTGCGCAAGCTACCGCCCGTTATGAGAGCTACAGCCGCTAGCATCCATCGATTCATTCTTGTAAACCCTGGTTATAACCAAGTTAAAAGTTGGAAGGCTCGTCGAACCAGTTAAAGCTTGAAGTTCGACGCAAAATTCCGGCTCGACGAACGTTCGTGACATCCCTAATTGCCACGTATCTGTAGGAGAAGCTCCGCCTCTACGTCCCAAAGAAATATGGCTCTACTACATAAATGCACAACTTTTCTAACATCACAGGGTCGGACAGCAAAAAATGTGCGCTTCTATAACTACGTGCCTTTGCTTAAAAATAGCAAAGATGGCTTAGATGTAACAGTGCGCACAGTGGCGAAGACTAGGGAGAGAGAGAGAGGTGACGTGAGATTGTTCTAGCGGGAATGCTGAACTGGTTCCCCATGAAAGGAAGTGGAGAGAAAGGAAAGAAAGGGGTATAAAGGAAAGGGGAATGAAAATAGAGAAAAATAAAATAAAAATGTGAACGCGCTGAGAGTTAATGTCGAGTTATTTCACAGGCGAAGACTAGGGAAAGGAGCGAACAACACAGGACATATTTTTACAGCTTTCTGTGTCTTTCGTTCCTCTTTTTAATCTTCCCTGTTTTGCGCTATTACATTTGCAATATGTTTTACTTTCACGAACTAGCCCAGCTCTCAATTTTATTACTTTATTCCACTTAGCAGTATTTTACTTGGAAAAGGCCATAATTCTGCTCCTTCCTTCAGTGTGGGCGATGCCTGTTCTGCATATCTTAACAAACTAAAGCGACGAGAAGGTGCGAATGGTCCTTCCAAAGCCCAGTGCGAACTCTCTGACGGTTGTTTACGAACGCTACCGAATAACAAAGCCGCCATGTTTATTTTTTTTTATTATTATATAGAATGCGATGATCCTCGAGTAGCGGGGGTAACATGTATGCTTGGGTATCAAACTTTATAACGTAAATAAATGTAGTGAACAAGCGTTAGAGCTTAAAATGTGTGCACCTTTTGATCAATTAGAAGTTCTAAAACATTTTTGAGTTCTTGTTATTGTGAATGTCTCGTTGTTGGATATCTGTGACTGCTCTAAACCGTTCATTATAAAACGGCTCTCTATCATTGCAGTAAAGCAAATCATTAGAGAAACCGAAAAGGAAACGGTTTTCAGGAACGTGTAACCGAGTAGCCGAAACCGTGAAAATTGAATACGTAAAGAACCGAAACGAAACCGATATCTACAGGACGCGGTAACCATAACCGTAACCGAAACGTTATATTTTTCGGTTTCAGTCCCTATAATGAAGAGTTATATGCACGAGGGAAGGCTCGCTGCCTGCACAAAGGCAAGCGGCGAGTCGAAAATATGTTTCCGGTGGTCGGGCGGGTTTGTGGGGCAAGGGAGTGTTCACTCTGCGTAGCTCGTGGGACGGTAGCTCGGCGGAATTGAATTGTGGTGTCCGGTTCTGTTTGTGGAGAGCTTGGGGCAAATGGTGCGAGGGCACGTGGCCGCCACTCTTCACTGGGTGCAGAATCGTCGTTCGGCGAGCCAGCCCGGTCAAGTTTGGCCGTCCACACCGGCGCAAAGGTGATTTGTTGTGGTGAAAGAACAGACTGGGACCTTCTATGAGGTAGACATGCAACTGCATTTAGTATAGTGAAGGTTTTGTAATATTTTACGGATATAACGTACTGTCTACGAGAAGTTTTCGTTTGTAACAGTGTCAGGAGTTTTCAAAGCCCACAGTGAAAGAATGACGCGCATAAAAAAATCAGAAACTGGGAACGCGACAGAACAGCACACGACAAAACAGCACGCGACAAAACAGCGCGGTCAAAACAGCACGCGTCAAAACAGCACAGCGTCAAAACAGCACAGCGACAAAACAGCACGCATCAAAATAGCACGCGACAAAACAGCACAACGGCAAAACGGCACAGCGACAGAAGAGCACGTGCCGAAACAGCACGGCGTCAAAACAGCACAGCAACAAAAGAGCACGCATGTAGCAACATCAAGCGCGTTCTTCACCTCCATCTGAGCGAATAACAGCGAACCTCCTTCACGTTTTCATTTATTGTCGCTAGGTTATAGAGAACTTTATTGCCCATTTCTGGGCTTACCAAACTCCGCAACCCGGAACCCCCCTTCCCCCCCCCCCCCACCTCCCCCCCCAAAAAAAAAAAAAAAATATCGCGTCACCATTTTTCCTTGGGCTTTTCACGAAGTTACAAAAGTCAGTTACAATGATGAGTACTAGTATCAGTCCACATAATAAAATGTATGCTAAAGATGGCTAAACTTAAAGGAGCTGTGCAACAATTTTTGTACTGTGCACAAATACCGCTTAAAACGGATCCCTAACGTTAATGACCTATGAAACACGCGTTCGTTTTTCACCCCACGCAATAGAAGTCCCAGAAAAAAATTTAAGAAAAACGAGCAGCGTTCACCCCCTCAACTCGCAGCCAGAACAAGCGGCCACGTGATCTGGAGCCGATTATATGCCGCCAGTGTTGATCATAGCCACGCGCTGGGGTTGGCAAAGCACAGGACACGCGCTGAGTTCCAGACATTGTTATGACTCGGCTGTTGTCGTCGTTGCAGCGATTGGACACGGGTCACAACCCGAATGCTTCTCGAGCTAGCAATTGTCACGAGCCGAAGTCGAGTGCCCACGCAATGCTCGGGTCCAATCTATGAAGCGCATTCAAATATCGTCACTTGGGTGTACTGCGATCCCCGAGTTACGTCATCAAATTTTGCAAAGGAGAGATTGAATGAAAATGACCTCTTTTGTCCTTGAAATTACACCGCAACAAAGGAGTTTCTTGGCCAATGGCGTTGCGCGTGAGTATCCTTGAGTCCCAGCTGTGCCAGTAAGCTCGTGTAGAGAGAAAAACATTCCAATTGAATATCGTTGCACAGCTCCTTTAAATCCATAAAATAATATGACAGCAGAAATTGCTTCGCGATCCCCCACTGAATCTGTCGGACCCACAGTTTGGAAGGCACGGCAGTCGGTAGTGGACCACGAGTTTTATCACAACAGGAGTTACCGATCGGCATCCAGCGTAAAGCATTCCCGTAAGGTGACAGGCGGAAAGCTTTAACAAAAAAATGCAATTGCTCGAACTTCCTTCAGCAAAGCTCTTGTTGGTACGTTTCTCGGATTTTTCCGTGTCGTTTATAGTCGGTAGAGTAGATTGCTGGGCTAGTTGGTTTTGGAATTTGGAACACATTTTAGCGCTCAAAAAACAGGGACAAAGAGGCGAGAAACAGACAGCACAGTGCGCTACTAACAACTGATTTTATTACGTGAAACGACACTTTTATACCATCCGAGTTTCTGATTTTTCTCCACCACTAGCCAACCCGGTGCCAGGCCGCGTCATTGAGGAACGCACGCTCCTTGTCCAGTAAATCAATTGAGGCCACGCTGACACATGCTGCACCACCCTTCTTAATCTCGTCTGCCTCGACTATCTCCCTCACAGTTTTTTCCTTGTGCCGTGCCAGAATCTTGCTCTCGGAAAACAACGGCATACACTTGCACTTTTCACAATGATCAGACAGATGACCGTCCCGATAATTTCCTACTTTAAGTTTGTACTCCCTCAGCCTATCATTAACACACCTATCCGTTTATAGTCAGCAGAAAAGGAAAGGTCAGTATTAATTGAAACAGGTCAGTATTTTTGAGGGCGCTTGGAGGGGGGGGGGGGGGGGGGGAGGGGTGATTCATTCCTGACCATATGACCACTTCCTTTCGCAGTTTTCAGCTTGTCTGCGAGGTCGGTTGAACCTTCAACAAAAGCTCAGGGGCCGCAGGGGTCTTCAGGATGAAATCTGGATTTTTGAACTGATAGGGATTTGTGTGCCAAATTCTTTGTTCAAAGAAAATATAATCGTGTACTGCACAATGCAATTCAAAAGCGCCCGTATAAAAGCCGCTCATTTTTTAACAACACTAGCTTCCGTCTACTAGAGGAGGGCGTAAATACAATTGATTTTCTTTTTTTTTTTTTTTTTTGCCGTTTTTGTGGTCGGCGCAAATTTACCAGCTCTCGCAGTCGTGAAAATGGGGAAAAATCGCACTGAGCACAATGCTTCAAATTTCTGGATTTTGATACTTGCCTCTCCGACCGAAGTGGTAGTGAAGCTCATGCTCGTCCTGTGTACAAATGCGCGCACACGACGATAATGTAGGGCCCCAGTCCGTCTTGCTGAAAAGGTCGCGTAGGCTGCCACACACGGTAACAAATAAAAAAAAACAATACCTTCTTAACTCACTATACATTTCAAACAAAAGCTTTTAAATATTACATTTTCGTCAGTGTACTGATTTTCGGCAATAAACCGAAAAGAACCGAGACGTTTAGGAGTCTACAAATATTTACCGCAATAATTTCCGGAACACCTTTTTTTGGACGCTGTGCTGTCTTGTCGCTGTGCTGTTTTGACGCCGTGCTGTTTTGGCACGTGCTCTTCTGACGCTGTGCCGTTTTGCCACTGTGCTATTTTGTCGCGTGCTATTTTGACGAGTGCTGTTTTGACGCCGTGCTGTTTTGACGCTGTGCTGTTTTGACGCGTGCTGTTTTGATCGTGCTGTTTTGTCGCGTGCTGTTTTCTCGTGTGCTGTTCTGTCATGGTGCCTCAGAAACTATGCGCCAATCGCGAGTATGCCAAGACTACCTGATGGAATGTTCCAGACTGTCCTCTTTTAAGCGGTTCTAAGACTGCACAACGTACTCGGTCCTTTCCAAATGCATCCGTCGCCTTCTGACCGGCCGCGATTCGGCAGCCATTTTCTCGGATTGGGTCGCATAAATTTCGCTCGCGGGTTGAAATTCATTTAGTCCTTCCCGTCCCACAGGTCTCCGAAGAAGTGGAGGTGTTTGACCTGGAGGCCGGGGAGAACGACAGCTACCTGGCGGGGCACCAGGTCGACGGGCGGGTGCTGTTCCCGGCCACGGGGTACATGGTGCTGGCCTGGAAGTCTCTGGCCAAGCGGTCGGGCAAGCCTTACACCCAGGTGCCCGTCATCTTCGAGGACGTCACCCTGCACAGGGCCATCATCCTTCCCAAAAGCGGTACGTCCACGCCGCAATGAAAGCAGCTTTCGGCTCGAAATCTCTGCCGAAATATGTGCTCAACACATTCGCAAGCGTTCGTTATATGCCTTTTTATACGCAGATGCCGCGAAGAGTGTTGGAACGGAACAGAACTGTGATGTAAAATCAACTTTCCGTTCCGCGTGCTCCGTCAATTTTATTGCAGCAGGATTCAGCTGTGGCACTCCCCGACCTGTTCTGAATGACTCAGTCACTAAACAACTTTATTTTCACGGGCCTATAATTTCACAAATTTCGAAAAATCTGGGTTTCAGGAATTTTTTTTTTTTTTTCAGGCAAAAACGTTTGCAATTTAGAGTGATATGGTATGTATTCATTAGATGGGGCTCATAAATTCGTGCAATAAATTTTTTTCAATATTCAGAAGTCGCAAGATTTGCGAAACTTCGGTGCTCGTGGAAATAAGGTTGTTTACATCACTCTGACCTGTGGGACTCGACCATTCTTATTTTTCACGTCGTAGTTCAGTGTGGCAATGAAAAAAATTTTCCGTTTTTTTTTTACATCGTAATTTTGTATATGGCGGTTTAGTGGTGCCAGAGACTCTTTAGCTGAGAACACACATTACGGCGAATTCTTTGATGCAATCCACTTGATAGTCCCATAGGCAGTATTCACTGGCGACCATAGCTGTATGTATGCGCGACTGCTGAGTGCGTGCTGACGGCGATCTTCCGCAGTTGTTTTGCAGTGTGCATTTCTCACCATCAAGATTGCGGGATTCAGCAGCCTATTAATGCGAGTTCGTTGTGGGAATGCGCTCTAAACATCGCCCTCAAATATGGCGTCCAGAGAATACCCCTTATTGTCACGTGCTTGAGCAGCCTATGCTTGAAATGTCTCCATCGTCCAGACGACGAAAATGAGAAAAAAGAAACAAACAAAAACAAGAGTACCTCGGTACCTCGGTCTTACGGCCCTCAAGTGCATGCATTTTCTGGTCGGCGGATCCGTTCGGACCTCCGTGGACGCTGGCACACACGCCCGTCCCAGAGGTCTCTCCGCTTTGACGCATGCTAAGGTCAGCAAGAACATTAAACTGCACTAGAGGACGTTGAGGCGCGAAAACTGTCTATGACGAAAATGTTTGTAAGCAACACGTGTAGGGCAGTGGCAAGTTCTAAGCTCTATATGATGTGGCCCTTCCAGAATACGACTTAAAAACACAGTCGCGTCTCCCGTAGAGAACCGTGGCAAATCATGCCCGTGACGGGCTACCACTGGCCACTGACGGAAGTGGCCAGTTACCGAAGTGGCGCCGCTTACGACTAAGACACGGAGAAGATTTTATCCTGCAGCTGCGATGCGTATGATGTCCACACACGTATCTTCCACCATAAATGATATCATTTATACTCATTTCGAAAAAGCGATGGGGACCGCGAAAAAGACGCTCAGACGGCTTGACGAAATCTCTGCACTCCTACATTCCACAGCAGCAGCGTGACAGGAATGTTCGAACGCAGTACATATAATTTATCATTCGGCACTTCGCGAAAACCCAACTATATATAAAAAAGTAGACAAGAGTTTTCACTGCGAACGATTTAAACAACACTGTTTAATAATCGAAGCATTAACGCCTAAATGAAAATATGTCCATAACGTTTGTTAACTCTCGAAGATTCGCGCTTTCCATGGTTACCATAATCAATGTACCACAGCCAATTATATTTTTGTTTCACACCCCGTGTTTTTCTTGTTTTTTTTTTGTTTTTTTGTGTGTTTCTTTATCATTTTTTGTCGCCGCGCAGGCCCAGTGCGCCTCATGGTGAACGTGATGCGCGTGTCGGGAGAGTTCGAGGTGTGCGAGGCCGGCACGGTGGCCGCGAGCGGTCGCATCTTCCTGCCCGAGGACGGGCAGGAGCTCCTGGACCACGAGGCGCCCTCCGAGCCCCCGGAGACCGTGACCTTTGACCTCGACGCCGAAGACATCTACAAGGAGCTGCGCCTCCGGGGGTACGAGTACTCCGGAAGCTTCAAGGGCATCCTGAAGGCCGACATCCAGCGTAAGTTGGACAGGGCTGTCATTTGCTGCCACAAGCGTGCCTCGGGCACGCTGAGGGCCACGGCACTTATCCAGTTCGAGGTCATTGTTACGACTGGTTTATACACTAGCGACTTCTTACGACCGAGTACATTACGACCCCTCTCAATATCTAACCGCCGGCCCCGTCTATGAGGTGGCCGGGAAATGCTTTTCTCTAGAGCGAAAGCTTTGTGGTATTTGCGAGAACAAATGCACATATTACCCGAGAAATGCTGGTTTATAAGATTCTCAATATGTTTTCAAGAAGAGAATAATGCACGAAAAAATAAACTATACAGGAATCGCAAGTGTTCCCCATGGCACCAGTGTGTTCCCTCAAGCGATCACAAGAGGCTGTAACGGACTCGGTTGTAAGCAGTCGCAAGTGTGTGAAGAGACGAGATGCTTCCTTCGATTTGTGTGAATCTTTTTTAAAATGGTGGCCTCTACCATTTCGTTTATCGGATGCAAATGTGTGGCCGTCGATGCAGACCCCTACGGCAAACTCAAGTGGGAGGACAACTGGGTGACCTTCCTGGACACAATGTTGCAGTTCAGCAGTGTCAGAAACCCTGTGCGCTCGTTCAACCTGCCCGCCAGGATCCACTCCTGCAAGGTGGATCCGGCAGTGCATGCCAAGGTCGTCTGCGCAGTGGGAGACCAAGGTGGGTGGCTCAGCAGAACTCTGACGTAGCTCAGTGCAACGCCTCGGTGCAACACTGGAAGCTTAACAACCATAGTGCAACTCCGGTAGTTTGGTGCAACATTGGCAGCTCTACTAAAATGTTGAATTGGGCTAAATGGATGAGCATTATGAACAAAAACCAGCGCGAAGGACAGAAAAAAACAAGAACACAAAGACGGGACTAGTGCTAGCCTCGTCTTCACTTTCTTGTTCTTTTCCTTGTCTGTCCTTTATGCAATTTGTTGTTCAGGACTATAGTCCCTCGGTGCAACATATGGTAGCTTGGTGCGACGACATATGTCTCGTACTACATGTTAAAGATCAGGCAGGTATCCTACTCTGGCATTAAACCAGGTATACTAAGAAGGAGGGGGGGGGTGGGGTCTAGCTCCAGCCAGTTCGGTATACATACATTTCTCAGCACTGCTAGCCCAAACGCGAGTTCTGCGCTATTTAACATTTGACTTCTGAGGCTATGGGTAGGTGAGTGCTCCAAAACAGAACATTCCACCACTATGGTACTTCGGATATCAGCCCTTTCTTTCTGAGAGAAAAACACAAAACAATGGCGATCACTAGTTCGTAAAACAGTGTTGCACCGTGTACATTCTTGCGAATACCATTAAGCCAGATTTCACATGCAGCGACGGTGCGAAAAAAGTCGGTGCGACAGACAACGCAGCGAGTCCGATCGGAATGTTTATTTTCACGTGCTCCAACAACCGCGTGATTTTTTTCGTTTGCGGCCGGCTCTTCTACCCAAGGTTAGTTGCAGCGGACACAGACGTGACGCGTTTCACTTTGCCTAAAATACAACAAAAACGTCAAGCGTTTTACCAAATATTATATAAGCCAATACTGGCAACTCCCGCGGAGAGCGGGCGAAAAGTGATCGCAGCATCCCTGGCGAGCTCGGAGTCTCGGCTAGCAGACAAATTCGCCACAACGCATTGTTTTTGCCTAAATTGCCACAAGTATTCGCTGCTTTGAATGTTAAAAAATAGGTACCACCTCATGAGTGAAGGAGATTTTCTTCGCGTGGGAAAGATGTCCGAGCTTTCAGGTTGCAATTTTGGAACTCTCCTAAAAAAAATTAAAAAAAAACAATTTGTCACAACGTACTGTTCCCCATGGCACCCGTGTGCCATGGGAACAGTAACGCTAACTACGTTTTGCGCTGTTTCTTGCAGAGATCAAACTCGCTGTAACAGATAAAGTACGAATGTACCTTCGCGCTGTTTCTTAAATAAGGGCAATGTACAAATATTTCGGCACATTTTAACGTTTCAACTTTACTGTACTTACCAATCAATTCGTTTTGTCGATGCAATTCCCAATTCTTATGAGTGCCTTGCTCATAACCGTTTTCTCGAATAGGCGAGCTAGCTAATTCCGCTCGGATCATCTCCGGATAAAAAAAGCAAAAGGCAATTTCAAACCAGGTACGTTGCTGCGATGTTAGTATGCTCTAGAAGAAGTTGATTGTGCACATGCAAAATTTGACGCTATTACTGAAATTAATAAAGGCGGAGTTACAGAAAAAGCAGACTTCTCGCGCTTGGAAAAGAAAAAAGTTGGAAGCGTCGTAGAGCAAATAAACGTTATATACAGTACACAAATTCCGATTGTTAGCGCCGGGACGACTAACATCTACTGCGTCTTTTCCAATAAAAGGCGGCACCCGTTGGACCATCTGCAACTTCTATTTTTCAAATTCCACTTAACTGTTTTTAAGTTTGAGGCGACGCTACGCCGGCGCGGTCTCTCTCCTTCTTGCTTTTATGTTGTGTTTTTTTCTCTTATTTTTATTTGCTTGACGTTGGAACCATCGCGTATTTTGCTTTACCTTATTTGTCTAGTTTTTACTAGGGTGCCTCAATGTCCCTCTGTTTAGGGTGATGCCATCCTTTGTAGTACCCGATGCCGACAGCACGCGCTCACAATGAAACTACAAAGAAATCGACGAAAACAAAATGTCGCCATAGCACAGTCAGCGCCACGAACGCGTGCAGGGGCACGCTCTTTCACGCGCTTCTGAACAAAAAATAAAAATAAACGTGTGGGACAAAATGGCGAGATGCCACCACCCTAAGCAAAGCGCACATTAAGGCACCCTAGTTTTTACTCTCATTCCTTCGCGTTGGCGCTTACTACCGCCGGTTCGTCTGCTCGTCTGCTTACGCTATGCTCAGACTGAGGGCCGTCTGGAACTCTGTTGTTGTTTTTGCTTTCTATCGGTCGTCTGCGATGTCCTCAAATTTTTGCCTTCGATTGAGTTTCTAATCCGGAATATTCAAATAAGTGTTTTGATATTTATTAGCTGTATTAAAAAGTGTACCCTCTGTGTACATTTCTATTCCGATTTTATTTGTGTACGCGGGCATATCTGCGATGGGTCATCATTGGTTGATAAATCGCCCACCTCCGGGAAAACACCAGCGCATACTAGGAGAGGGCACGCATGCCATGGGCTGCCTACCGCTATAAAAACACGTTTCTGCGTGTGGTAAAAAATTTTCTTCCGTTCTACAAAGACCGAAGAAACGTGAGTTATTGAATTACTGCAGCAATCAAATAAAAGTGAATGAGCTACCTAAACCTGGCTTCAAAATCGCGACTGACGCATCAACAGACGATTACGGAAACTTCACGGAGATCGCGGAGAACTTGACGGACGACAGACCAGACACACAACTGGACACCCAGCCCCATGTAGCCGGGTGGTCAGCCAGTCAGATCTGTCATCATGCTTGCCAAGTCCAACCGCAATCACAAGCATGCAACACCTCGAAAGACATTTCGTTGAAGAACAATAAATACTCGCATGTGAAAACGACACTATCCTATGACTTAGCTCACCACCTAGACGGTAACATCATCCGTGCCTTCGACACACATTTCACTGATATATTGCACCAAACAACAGTTCAGCTGAAGACGCGCTTGAGGCCACTGATCGACACTCGAAACAAGGGCACGGTGTGCAAGGATTGCCTGGACGTGTATATATGTTAACAAGTACTTGAATGTACTTTTGGACTGCTTCGTCAAGCGAGCAAACAAACAGTCTGCCAAAGTCACTGGGAAACGATATGCGAAAGCAAAAAAGCTCGGTCGCACACTGCTTCCACGTACCAGACTGCAGCGTGCGACTCTTATTTTACGGGCAACGGGATCTGAACTACTTTATTCCTTCCCCTTTTTTTGTTTTTAGTTCCTACCAACTCCGCGAAAGCAAATAAACCAACGTGTAACAAGCAGCTGGAAGGAAAAATGGGGCTTTTTTTCTTTTTCGGTCAGTTTCATCGTGTTGCATCCTCTTTGTTTGTTGTAGACTCAACACCGACGGCGACCATCACATGCGCGACTATCGTAGTCGTTGAAGGAGTTTCTTAGTTGGGCGATTTGTATATTTGTATAGTCTGCTCATTTCTTTGTTTTATTCGCCGTTGTTCGCGACTGTGCCCCATTTCTTTTTATTTTCTTCTGAGATGACAACCCCATCTTTCCTCCAAAGTTCGGAAAGTGTTTCAGGTCATTTTTTATCGTTACTTTTTTGTTTTGTTTTTGTGCTGCAGCCGCTGGTGCGCTTGCTCTGGTAATACTGGGGAGTTTTATATTAATAATAATAATAATTGCCTTTATTTCCATCAAAGACGGGGGAGGCGGAGGAAAAAAGCTGCTATAGAGCAGCTTGACGTGTCCTCGACCCCCTACAGACAGTGGTTGAGCAAAACGTTTTTGGTAGTGTACATAAATCGAATCACTGATGCAGAAGTGCAGAAACATGAAAGGCATCCTACAAGGTAATCATACTAGGTCATTGGTGACTTACAAATTCGAAGGGCAATCACAGACGCACAAAAAATTCATGAAACAAAAAACATTAAAAGACACGAAGTGCCAAAAACGAAAACAAATTGGCAACGTTCACTTTCTAAAAAGTCCTCTAATATCTAAAAAGAGCTGTAAAGAGTATAAATATAAAGAGTCACGAAAAAAATAAAAATATGCGCTATAAATGCGTAGCATGTCCAAACAAAAACAAAGGTATAAAAAGAATGCCGCAAAGCCAATGCCACGCAAGTCAAAAACATAGGAAAAAAAAGCGAAACACTAAACGTCACATATAAAAAGCTAGCACAATAAACGCCAAAAAAATATCTAAATGCAATGCGTAGTAAATAGAACGTAAAATAAGCACACACAAATTTAACAAGAAAACAATCACTCTTCAGACCTAAATGGTCAGTCACGGAAAAAGGCGTAAAAAGTTAGAATAACTTATGCAATTTTAGCGCACGCTAGCACTACATTTAGCGCTTGCGTTAGCGTAGACAAAACAAGAAAGTTTTAGAATAGAGTTTCTCCGCCGTGGGGCAAAAGCCCAAGCATCTCGCGCTTGAAACGCCACCAAGATACAGTTACGATTTTAATTTCAAACACGAAATGTTGTAGCTTGAAAAGAAACAAGTTTTTTGGTCCAGAGTAACATTTTGCATTTGTTCAAACGTGAGAATGCGACGCGAGCGGTCGACCGATCATGTCCGCATGCGTCGCCTCGGTAAGACAGGTCTCGTGTTCTAACCTTCGCCGATAAATGTTCGTGCGACGCAAGCATTAAATTACCGGTGATCCTTGCCCACCTTACTGAGTTTTCCAAACAGTGCAATGCCGTCTCGTAATGAAAATCGCAGTCGCGAGAATGCCGCCGACGTCGCCCACGCGACGCCGCCAAAGCAGCAGCAGCCATCGTTCTGGGGGCCGCCATTTTTTAACTGTGCTCGTCTTGTCTTTAACCAACGTCTCATCGCGAATCCTCCTTGGAGGAGCACAAAGGTTCTTCGCGTACGCACGCAAATTCCAAAAAATAGCATACGCTAAAGTAGCGCACGCAAAGCGCAAAACGTGCTTAGCGTTCGGCACATGCGCAGTGGCGACGACGTTATTCTTTGCGTACGCAAAGCTTTAGCGTGCGCTATTCTGAAACTCTCTATTAACGTGTTTGCGCGCGTTTTAATGATAACCTCTTCAGGTAAGAAATGGTGACAACTTAGTTTGTAAGGGATCAACAGTGACCTCTTACGACGTAGTTCGAGTAGCTAAACACATTTTTTTTTCCGTTTCCCAGACGCGCTTCAAACGCGTGTGATCCTCTGAGAGGCGTTTGAGACTGCTATATAAACTGCTCTATCTTTGTTTATGCGCGCGTTATTTTTTTGTCGTTGCAGTTGCGATCAGGGGGATTCTGCTTTGCAAACGGACTGACCGTAATGAATTGTTTTAGCTGTTGGGGTGACGAAACGGGGCTGGCAAAGCTCGAGGACGTCGCGGAGCCTATACTTGTCCACAGCCTTGTCTGCTTTTGTTAAATCCTAGTCCGCTAAAGGCGCCACAGTCACGTTCGCCGCCGCTCTCATGGATGTTCGGAAGAGTATCCTGTACTGGCGAAGCTATATCGTATTTGATTTTACAAATACATGATGTCACTAGAAATTTTTAATAATTAACCATTAAGCCAAAAGCTTTTACGTGTCTGAATTTATTTTCGAATACGCAGCTTTAACGGATGAAAGCTGGCTAATGAACGGCTGGAAGCGTTTCGGAATGCGTAATGTTATGGCGCCTGGACCGCGTCTCCGACTTGTGTGTTTAGCATAATATATGCTGGCCATACATCAAAAGTGGTCCCGAAGTGGCAACAAATGACGTCACAGAAACCGGAGTGTCATGCTGTTGCATGTCGCGATCCTTGCAGTTGGTCGTAGAAATGCTGGTGAAATTAATTAAAGCACGAGCGAACGCCAATGCCGCTGTTGTCACGGCGTCCCAACTTCTGGCTGCCGAGGCTTCCGTGGACAGTCGCATTGGAGAGCGACTTGCAGCAGAACAGGCGTCTCCCACATACACCTCCCCTCCGCTGTTCGGACACCACCAGGATCGCGACCGGCGACAGGGACCGTGTTTCAATATTTACCCGCTACCCGCGTCCAGTGTTCTTCAATCTGTGTTGTCACGTGACACGAGCGCAGCCGGAGTAACTCTGACCCATTTGGGTAAGATTTGGAACACAGCCAGGATGTCACTTGTATGACGTCACCAGGCGAAAATAGAGGGACCACTTTTTTGGATGCGGTAAAAGCACACCAGTCGGAGGCGTATTCCAGGCGCCATAGTAGTGTGTAGTGTCACGGGACTCACGGCCGCGAGGCTCGCTATTGGTTGGCGGGAAAGCGATCGCAACGACTCTGTGACAAAATATCAACTTGGTGGAAACCAGCCTCAGAGCCGCTGGTTTCCAGCGGCTCTGTCGCAGCCGCAGAGCCGCTGCGACAGTGCGACTGCGATCCTATTCGCACATATCCAGGAAATCGCACCGATTTCGGACGAGAATCGCAGCATGTGAAAGAGCCTTTAGGATGTACAGCTCGTCACAAGATCTAGATATTTGTTCGAGGTATTTTTTTGCAAAGTTGAGAAAACCTCCTCCCCCTTTCACGCTTCTCGCACAGGACTGAACGTGGTCTACGAGAAGTACCTCAACGTCTGCCGCGCCGGCGGCGTGGTCATGGAGGGCCTCGAAACAAACGTGGCGCCCCGCCGGGCCATGCAGCAGGAGCCGTTCCTCGAGGAGTACCTGTTCGTGCCGTACATGGACGACGAGTCGGTGGGCCGCCAGCGCGAGGCCGCGGTCCGCGAGTATGTCGAGGTCTGCTGCAACATGGCCCGCCGCGTGCTCGAGTCGTGCGCCAAAAACAAGGCTCCGATCTCGGACGTGATCAGCGGGGTTTGCGAGGCACCCGAACAGGTTCTCCACAAGTACCTGGAGAGCCAGGCCGAGAACCACGGGTTGTTGCGTGTCCTGGCCAGCGTCCAAAAGGAGGCTGAGAGCTCGGCGGGCTCCCTGGTGGCCTCGGTCCAGTCGGTCCTGTCGGCCCACAAGGAGGACCTCGAGAGGGACCTCCTCAACACTGCCCTCATGGAAGAGGACCCACTGCGGCACCTTTTGGACGTGGTCGTTGAGAACACCGGTGTCAAGAAGTTGAAAGTCCTTGAGATGGCCGCGCATGCTGGCCTTTTTCTCCTGGCGCCCAGGGTATCCGCTCTCCTGGCGTTGTCCCACATCCTCCTCAAGACGGACCTGACGATTGCACACCCGCAGCCGAATATCCTGACGGAAAAGCAAGTTCCTGAAGACGCCAAGAAGGTTGCCTGGGACGTGGCGTCTCCGTCGAGGACCGCCCTTCCAGATGCTGACCTCCTGATAGCCCGTGCCGCAGCCGGCAGTGAGGCTCTGGAGGCGCTCACGGACGCGCTCGCGGCTCAGTCGAGAGAGGGCGGCTTCGTTCTGCTGTCTCTGCGAACTGCGCTCACGCCCGCCGAGATGTTCCTGTCGACTGTGGGCAAGGTGCCGCTCCGGGTGCACTCTCGGGACTTCGTCGAGGCTGCCTTCGGGAAGCGTGGCTTCCGGCTCGTGAGCCTCCGGTCCAACAATGTGTCTGCGCTCCTGCTGTTCAGGAAGAGGCTGGCGACACCAGCCGGTGCAGATAAGCAGGCGGTGATCCGGGTCAGAAGTGGCGAGTTCGGCTGGGTGGAAGAAATCAAAGCGAAGGCGACCGAGTACCAGGAGAGGCCGGCGGGCGAGAACATCTGGCTGGTGGCCGAGGACGTGGGCTCCAGCGGGGTCGTCGGTCTCACCAACTGCCTCAGGCAGGAGACTGGAGGACACCACATCAGGTGGGCAGTCTACGTTGCGGAAGCGAACGGTTCCGGCAGTGTGAAAACGTCCGAGAGAGGATTCAGTTGAGCTTAGGAGTTTCACCGACTGCTTAACTTTACCTAACCGTGGTCTTATCAAGCTAGTGTAAGCTGACAATTCGGTTGGAAGTCTGCCGTTTTTTTGACACAGGCATAACAATGTCATTGAGATTTCTACCTCTGAAACATGCTAAAGTGGAGCTCAAACACGAGAGATGGCAGTAACGTCATTACTGTAATGAAATTACAATAAATACATTTATTTTTGTGGTAACCAGTAATGTAATTATTTACTTCTCCAGGCTTGTAATTTAGTAATGTACTGCATTACTTTCCGGCAGCAATTTCGACAATAATAACTCACTTCTTTTGTCCCAAATGAGGAAGTTCGTTTGCAAGCTCAAGAAGAAAAAAGCTTTTATCCTTTCCACTTTGGTGAAAAAGGAACAGGGGCGAATCTGTACTATGGTGGGACGGCTTCAAAGAGGACTTCCTGGACGACTTTAAGGACGACACCTAAAGGATGATGTCTAGGGCGACGTCTAGGACGACCTCGAGGACGACATCTACGACGACCTCAAAGACGACTTCTAGAGTGACCTCGAGGACAACGCCAGAGGACAACGCCTAAGACGACTTCGAGGACAACGTCTAGGACGACCTGGAGAGCGACTCTAGGACGACCTTGAGGACAACTCCAAGGACTACCTCAAGGACGACGTCTAGGACGACCTTAACGACGTCTTCAGGACGACGCGTAGAGAAATTCAGCCTTTCCACTATGGTGAAAACGAGAGTGGAAAGGCTGGAAAGGTTGCCGCCATCTAGGAGCGACGGCGGAAACCCGACAACCGTCAAGCCGGTTGTCTGGTTTCCGCCGTCGCTCATAGATGGCGGTAGCTGTTGAGAGTTTTCTGTCGACATTTTTTCGGTGACGGACACGAAACTGGGGAAACTGTCCCTTAACAGCTCCGCTATAAAAATTAATTTGCATGGTAAAATGTTGTGGAAGAGACATCATAGAAAATAAACGACGACCACCTGAGTGCAGAGCCTCGCACGTAGAACTAAAGAGACGCACAAAGGTGGGCTGGAAAGGCGAAGGAGAAACGCTTACGAGTAGACATCGCTGAAAGGCCACGGCTTACGAGCTCCACGCAAGACTGATTCACGGCGTCACGTTATCACGACGATACTGTACTACGCTCATCCCTCAGCTGACAGTGGGGTGGGAACTGCGAGCTAACCAGAATCAATCAAACACCTCCCTTTAATCACCGGACCCGTCCCTTTCTCTGCGCGAGAGAATGAACGAGAGCGTGGTTGCGTGGCGAAAATTAGACATGTGACTTCCAATGAGCACGTAGCTTCCACCGCACTGTCAGCTGAAGGATGAACGGCTCATAGGCTACAAGGCGAAGGGTACTTCATTAGTGAGGTCAACATATTTTCAAACCTAAGACAGGACAAGCAGATCCCCAGCCTTCTTCTTTCATCAAGAAAGGTCAAACCGTAAGCTTCAACCATTGTGAACAACAAACGACCGGAATAAATAATTAATTCCAAATGCACCTTTCAAGGCCCCAAGGGGTTTCGTGCGTCCTCGAGCAAAGCAGGTGCCTCTCGCGGTATGCCTCGCTCCCTTCCCTTGAGAAGTTTATTCGGGAATAAGGCTACAAGCTGGTTGTGCCACCCGTTTTTAGAGCGCAGCTCTTAGGGGCCCGTTCCCGGCTTGAGCGGCGTCGGCGTCGCCGTCGCCGTTGGCGTTGCCGTCGGCGTCGCCGTCGGCGTAACCAAGGTCATCCCAAGGTCACGTGACCCCCAAGGTCACGTGACCCCTCCAGGTCACGTGACCCCTCCCAAGGTCATCTCAAGGTCACGTGACCCCAAAGGTCACGTGACCTTGGGGGTCACGTGGGGTCATCTTGGAATCACGTGACCCCCAAGGTCACGTGACCCCTCCCAAGGTCATCTCAAGGTCACATGACCCCAAGATGACCCCACGTGACCCTTTGAAGGTCACGTGACCCCCAAGTCACGTGACCCCTCTGAGGTCACGTGACCCCTCTGAGGTCACGTGACCCCCGAGCCCGAGGTCACGTGACCCCCGAGGTCACGTGACCCCCAAGGTCACGTGACCCCTCTTAAGGTCAAGGTCACGTGACCCCAAGGTGACCCCCACGTGACCCCCCAGGTCACGTGACCCCTCTGAGGTCACGTGACCCCTCTGAGGTTACGTGACCCCCCGAGGTCACGTGACCCCTCCAGGTCACGTGACCCCCAAGGTCACGTGGGGGTCACCTTGGGGGTCACGTGACCTTGAGGTGACCCCCATGTGACACCCAAGGTCACGTGACCCCCAGGTCACGCCTCCCCGAGGTCACGTGACCCCCTCCCCGAAGTCACGTGACACCCCCCCCCCCCCCCCCCGAGGCCAGGTGACCCCCCCGGAGCATATTAAAGAATGAGGGAAGGAGGAGGAGAAGGAGGAGGGTTCTACCCTACCCTCAGTACCCTTCCTTCCTCCTCCTCAAGAGCTGCGCTCCAATTCGGCGTTACATGGAGTTGTAAACGGCTTTCACTTTTTTTGGGGGGAAAGTACACAATTTAGGAAGCTCGTATTATTCCTTCTCTCAACTGTCGACACCTCTGCTTAGCAATTATCCAGCCCTTTGTGTCACAATTCGCAAAAACTTGGGCTTTTCGGCTGTTTGGGAACAATTCTTTTTGACAGGAATGACCGGGAATACACCAACAAGTGCGCTTGGGACGACAGGATCATGCTGCGTCCGACGCGGAAGGGAAAAGTTTCACGTGACGACTCCTTCTAAAGGCCTGTCCAAACAGGACACTACAAAACTCTTCAGGCGACACGACTACGAAATATCGTTCGGCGCTCCGCTTCCGGCCATTTTTTTTTTCTTTCTTTTTTTTTCTTTTTTTTTTTGGTGGGGTAAACGTTTTTTCCTGCCAAATGTCGCCCGTGCCCTCCACGGCGGCCATGGTCTGCTCATCGCGTGGATCCGAAGGGCCACTCATTCGCTCTGTTAGGTGTTGGTCAAGCGCTCAAGGCTTCTGCCGTTTTTCAAGTCCCGAAAACGGGAAAGGGAATGACACGAAGGTTTCATTCCCTTTTCCTGCGGGAAGCGAAACCCACGCTTCCAAGCAGGAATCTCCCAAATCCAACCGAAGCCGGACCTCTTTGGCCTTCCAGCCGAGGCGACGGCGGCAGCGAGGTCAGAGAGCCACGGGAGACCATTAGTGGCAGGTGGCGTGTGACGTCGAATCTGACGAGCTCCGACGTCAAAGAAAAGTGGACGAGGCGAGGAGAAAAGTCGTGATGTTGACTCTGCCAGAGAAATCGCCCGGCGACACGACTCGTGCAAAAATTGTCAAAATCGAAGCGTCCGTTTCAAATTTGACGATTCTTGCAGAAGTCTTGTCGCCTGACGATTTTTGTTGTGTCCCGTTTGGACAGGCCTCAAGAACTAGCTTCCATGGCCGGACTTAACAGACTGAAACGGACTATAACTTTGTCTAAATCAGGAAGACGGAAACGTATCATCCTTTTAGTAAGAACCTTCACCATTGAATGAACAGCGAGACCGGTGAGTCGACTGTCATTGAGTCACATCTAAAAGAGCTATTCGTTATACTTATCACTCATCTCGTGTGCGCCAGCAAAACGAATGTTCCGTATGGTACTTTGAGGCGCATAAGGCTGTTGTGGTGTAAACAGGAAGGTCTGACTTTTGGTACATATAGGGCAAATAAAATTAGCACGAATTACTGCCTCAAGGTATTCAAAAGTAATGCCAAAGTAATTTTATTACTTTTGCAAAGTAATTGTAATGTGATGTCATTACTTTAGTGTGCGGTAATTTGTAATGTGATTAACATTTTTGCAGTTTTCAAAAACGTAATGAGTAATGCAATATAATTACTTTTTAAAAGTAATTTTGACATCTTTGTGTCTACGTCTTGGTCTTGGTCAGTGAAAGCTAGGTCTTGGACCTAGCTTTCACTGACCTAGCTGTCTTGGACGTAGCTCTCTTGGACCTAAATATTTATAGTGTACTTAAGGACAGTGTACAGAACCATGGCATACATAACTGTAGGTTACCTAACTTTAGTGGTCTTTCTCTCAGGTGCGTCTTCAATGCCAGCCTCAAAGGCGGCGCAAACCCAGTGGCCGACTTCCAGCCCGCCAGCTCGGAGCACAAGGAGCTCGTGGATCGTGACCTGGTCATGAACGTCTACCGCGACGGAAAGTGGGGCTCCTTCAGGCACACCGTGACGCAGTCACGTGAGTGGGGCTTCATGCAGTCTTTGTACCCAAGGGGCTGGTACTCCCTGGGGTCCAATTTTGATTATAGTCAGCGAGAGCCTTCTCGGCCTCTATATTTGATGTGGCGCCACAGCTTGCGAGTAATCAACTAACATTACAGTTGTAAACCTAGCGCAAGCTCACAATCAGCCGCACATTTTCGGTAAAAATGTTTCATCAGCGCATGCAAATAGCGAAAGAAGATCTTGCTGCCTCTGATCTGTTTGTTCTTAGTCGACCCGTTTACAACGAACTCCGTCGAACACGCATTTTAGTTCAATATATCTCATATTTCGCAATATCAAAACCGGACCTATCTCTAATTTTAAGGCAAGGGCTTCGTGATGAGCAATTATTTTCTTGACACTACGCTGAACATGCTTTAATGCATTCTTGAGCGGAGCGCGAAAAACATTTATGACCCGCAAAAAAACGGTAACATTCTGGGCGGGCTAACAGGAACAAAAGGAGCTCTTGAACTGTTTATTCTGCGAGGACGTTTACAGAATCAGAGCACCCAGGTGCGCGCGGAAAGAAAAATCTGATCATTTTAGCTGACCGCGAAGCCTTTTCGTCTGGGCTTAGACCCACAATCGGCCGTATGGCAATCGTGTCCTTCAAAGAAATCTGATTTCGCTGCCGTGAAGCCAGAGTTCGAACAAAACCAGCGGAACCGTACAAAGACAAAGAAGAGAGCCGCGCAAAGCAGCCGAGAAGCAGCGAGGATTACTGCTTTCACGCGAACGCCGACGCCTCTCCAGCCACGAACGCCCCATGATTGGAGGCAGAAGTTCGATGGTCGCTAAAACCAACTCTGCGCCAAGGAACCATTTCCATCTTGTCAAGGAGTGAGAAAGACGGTTGCCATTCCCTCCGCAAACCAAATTAGCCCGCGAAAGTCAAATGAAAAAAAAAAAAGAAAAACAGCAAACAAACAAGACATGGCAAGCGGCGGTTAAGAAGCCGACGACGCGGCACCTGCATAGCTTTAGGCGCCGATAGAGTAAGAACGGCAGGGCGCGTCTTTTGAGCACTCGGCCTCCAGCACTTGTTCCGTGCCTTCCGCCGTGCTCTGCCAAGCACGCGCAAGCTCGAGGTGCACAAGACGTTGAGGCGATGTCGGAGGCAGGGAGCTCGCGCTGTAAGCTGTAGGCGTAGCAAGAGAAGCTTCTCCCAGACGTTCTCATTTTGTCGATGACTGCAGTGACAATGCGAGACAGTGCTGTCTCTCGGCGTAGGTTCTAAAATACAAACGGTCGCAGTTAAAACCCGCACAACAGAACGACGACAAGGCCATCGGCTGCAGCCGCGTAAACAAACGTAACTCGACCCCGAACGGATGGCCGACCGTCGTAGCGACGTCGCACGGTAAGGGACTAGATGAGAAGTTACGAGGGCACTTGGGCGTAAAGCTCTACCTCAAGAACGGTAACATAGGGGGCCGACTCTACGGGGATTTGTTTCGGTGCCCGAGTCGCGGGTCTTGCGCGAAAAGGGTGCACGTCAAACGGTTGGTGATCCGTTCTCAAGCTCGAGTTAGCAGACACAGTAGCTTGTTACAGAGATGACGTCTTTGGGCTCTGTGTTACTCTGATCTGAATATTAGTGTAAGCAGGTGCGCCTGTTTGTGCTTTTTGCGGAACTTCTCTAGGTGGCACCCGCTTGCCAGGGGCGCTTGTCGTGTAAGGGAGGGTTCATCTCAAACCATGGGAATTAAGAGTTTGAATTTGATGGCGAATACCTCCAAATGCCAAGTGCGCATGCACTGCACGTGGCGAGGAGGTAAGCAGGCTGAAACGTTTAGCGACGATCGACGCTCTCGTCACCGCTTCGATGCTCGTATTGCAAATGCGGTCCCTAAACCACGTGACCCCAACCGAGAAGTTGGAAGCTCTCCGTAATCTAGGCACTCCAGTAACGGCACGATTCTTTTACCCTTTCACTTGCATGTTGACCCCGTCTCGACGGCTTACTCTCGGCCCGCAGGCGGAGCCCCCCGGCTGTGGACGGACCAGGCGTACCTCAACGTGCAGACCCGGGGTGACCTGTCGAGCCTGCAGTGGTACGAGAGCCCCCTTCGGTACCGACCGGCCCCGGACGACCGGGTGCTGTGTAGCGTCTACTACGCGCCCCTCAACTTCCGTGACATCATGCTGGCTACGGGCAAACTGCCCCCGGAGGCCCTCTCCGGTGAGTGCACGTCCCGCCGAATTCACAAACCTCACTCCAATTGAGGGGCCCCTCCACTTCCTCGAGGAAGGCGCAAGGGCCGGCGCTAGCCAATCGCGACGGCGAATCCGTCGTCGCCATTGGCCAGCGCCGGCCCTGGCGCCTTCGTCGAGGAAGTGGAGGGGCCCCTCAATTGAAGTGAGGTTTATGAATTCGTCCTTTTTGGGGGAGCGTTGTCTCCCGCAGTGATGGACGTAAACAGATTCTTTCCGAAATTCAGTTCGGCCACTTTGATCACTATCGCCATCTGACGAATAGGATACTACTGTTAACGACTTTACTTTTTCGGGCTCGGTATTTCGCGAATTTCACGTGTCAGGTGCTCCGGCGGTAGTGGCAGTCAGAGCACCGGGTCTTCCGATTCAGACACTCAACGCCTCTCGGAGTTGAATTCGGAGGATCAGTGCTTACTGTCCCACGGAGGAGCTGTAAAGTGCCTCCGGATCTAAATCCGAAACCGCCGGAGTGTTGCGTAGCAGCGGGGATGCACCAACATAAAACCGAATTGCAAAAAGTGACAACTTTTCGCCTTCAATATTTTCACATAGTACCCCTTCTAGGTGTACCAAAGTGCCGGTCAAGCTGCAAATAGCAGCTTTTTTTTTTTTTTTTTTGTACCCTTTGTAGGAGAACCAAAGTGCCGGTCAAGCTGCAAATAGCAGCTTTTTTCCTTTGGTTTTCCCCCATCGTTGATGGAAATAAAGATATGTTTCAATGTTTCAATTTGATGCTTCTAATCGTGAACAACCCCCTAGATAATTAACAACATCCACGTATTGGCCTTCCCTTAGAAAACAAAACCCGACCTCTGGAAAGCACCTTTTGGGGAAAAAAAAAACACTCGACAGTCGAAGGGTTAAAGAGCAACCGTCTGGGCTCTGCCAGTTGCGCATTCTCCCCTCCTCCTGTCGACCGACGAGAGGGGTCGCTCCTTGCGTCTCGGGGTGCAGGCAACCTGGCGACGTCGGACTGCGTGCTGGGCGTGGAGTTTTCCGGGCGGGACCCCTCGGGGCGCCGAGTGATGGGCTCGGTGGAGGCCGAGGGCATGGCAACCGTCGTGGCGGCCAAACCGGGCCTCCTGTGGGAGGTACCGGAGAACTGGAGCCTGGAGGAGGCGGCGACGGTGCCCGTGGCCTACTCGACGGCCTACTACGCCCTGATTGTGCGGGGCACCATGCGTCCCGGGGAGGCCCTGCTGGTGCACTCGGGCAGCGGGGGCGTCGGCCAGGCCGCCATCTCCATCGCCCTCTCCATGGGCTGCACCGTCTTCACCACCGTCGGTGGGTAGGAACCTCCGCACTTAAACAACCCGTTTTAGGGGCAAGACTCGCAAGTTCCGACGTCGGCGCTCTCGAGACGAAAAAAACGTGAGCAAAGGAAGAGCAGAAAAAAAAATACGGTCGATAAGTCGGGCTTGTTCCTTTTGCTGCGACGAATCCAACTTGTTCGATTGCTCGTCAACTCGATCTATTTCTCGACATTGCATGAAGCCAGCGTTTTCCTACGAAGTAAGCTAGAAAAGTGTTCGATACAGACCTTACGGAGGATGCTTTGCTGGCGAGAGGGGCCCACCGGGACCACCCAGTGGGGCTACCAATGTCCACGCCCATGCCCTGTCGTTCCGAAGCGGCTCGAACGAATGGGACGTTTAGATTGCAGTAGAAGAAGTCAGGAAAACGCTGCTGGAGCGAACGAGACCAAACAATACGTCCGGAGATAAGGTCACTTTGCGTTTCGACAAAGTGAAAATAAAGGACCACCTGTACGCGTGGGACAAAAACAAAAGCGACATCACTTTCTTGCCTGGAAGTACTACCCAAGAATGACCACGTCCAAAAGCAGTTACTAAAAAGTCTGCAATAAAAGCACTAAACGTTAACGCAAGAATCCTGTTGAATAAATTTGAAAAGCTTGACGCCATTACCATGACTCACGAACCAGACGTTAGGATAATGACGGAAACCTGGCTTTCGTCGCGTATTCATGATGATGAGCTTGAAATAGCAAACTACTGCGTAATAAGAAAGGATCGACAGTCACGCGGCAGAGGGGTAGATATCTTGTACAAACATGTTTTAAAGCAACGCGCCTAATCCGGGCGTGACAGGAATTTAGTCATTATGGTGCAAACTTTAATTTAATGCGTTTACCCTCTACGTTAGTGCTGCTTACCGGGTTCGCAAAAAAATCTTGAATGTTTCTCTTTTTACATTTTGGATACATACATGCAATCGAACGTTCAACCACATGATGAAATAATAATGGAGGGAGATTTCAACCTGCCTTAAATTGCTTGGCCTGAACCTCAAGATCCTTTAGCACGCATTGGCGGAACAAATACTATGCACAAAATTTGCTTTAGTTGTCAGTTGTCCCAGAGTGTGTAAGACTTTACATGTTCACAGGCTTCCTCGCAAAGTGTCCTGGACCTGATCTCGTGAGCGACTTCTTTCTAAAAGAGCTAGACGTGAAGATCGTTGACGGCATATCTGACCATGACATTGTGGTAGCCTGGTTTATACTAGATATGGTGCCAAAAAATACCAGAAATGTTATTCAAGTTTTAGATTTGCATCGTGCTAAATATATGGCCATCATGGATTGTTTCGATTTTTACTTTGACCCTTTTTATGAACTTTTCCTGCGATAAGATAGTTATACAATTGACCTTTGGAATTCCTTCAAGTCACTGATTTTCCATTGTATGAACATCCACATTTCAGCTAAAATTTAAAGAACCGCTGAGCGAAATCCTTGGATAACGTGTGAAGTCATTCGTACGAAGCGAAATATTAGCAAACTCTAAAAACAAACCACGATTGGGAAAATCGCATAAAAGAACAAATCACGAACTTAACTACAGAACTTGGGACTAAAATAAAGTGTACCAAAAAACGTTCTGCTACGAAGCTTTAAATTCCATCATCAGAACATCACCAGATAAGTTATTGAGGTACATTAATCAACGCGCAGTAAGTAATCATGCAGCAATCGTCAGCAACCCGTACAAGGCTAACAACTTCAACGGCTACTTCCTTTCAGTCTTTACACATGACAACGGCGTTGTGCCACCCTTCATGAATAGGCAATTGCAAGATACCGTAAGGAACATCACAATTTCTGAGGACGGTATACTCTGTCTTCTTCTTAATCTTGACCCTAAAAACAAGTGCCCGACCAGATAACATTGCACACCCTTTTTCATAAGGTACGCAGAATAGATATAAAAGTGCTTATCACTAATGTTTAGAAAATCGCTACATGAATCAAGAACTCCACCCCACTGGAAGGAAGCCAAAGTTATTCCAATTCATAAAACGGGCAACCGACAAAGCATTTTAAACTATGCGTTTTTGATTTCACTTCCATCAACGTGTTGCAAATTACTGGAATATGTTATCCTAAAGCATATAACTGATTTTGAAGAAGAAAACAACATCTTAGATGTGTGCTAGCATGGTTTTTTGATCCGGCTCGTCAACGTTCACCCAGTGAATTGAAAGCTTGCACGCCTTCTCCTCGGTTATAAATCGTAGAAGTCTGGCGGATGCCATCTTTTTATATATGTCAAACGCATTCGACAGAGTCTCCCATAATAAACTACTTTACATAGTAACAAAAATTTTAGGCAATAGAGAACTTGTAAATTGGATGAAGGACTAGATCTCTAGATGATCTCAGTTCGTGGAAATTAACGAAAATGGCTCAACTAATAAGCCTGTGTGCTCCGGAGTACCTCCGTGTTTAGTACTTTCCCCGCTTCTCTTCCTGCTCTATATTATTGAAATAACTGATAACATCAACATAGACATTAGACACTTTCCTGACGATTGTATAATATTTTCTGAAATAAGAAACCTTTCGGACAACTCGAAATTACCAAGCGCGTTGGACAAGATCTCACACTGGTGTAAAGAATGGCAGATGCTTATTAACCCCCAGACAAAACAGTAGTCATTTCCATAATTAGGAAGAAAAATATAATGACTCATTCTTATAAGATCAAGGGAAACAATACAAAACGTGCATGAGTTCAGGTACCTAGGTATCTTGTTCATAAGCGATCTGAACTGGGGCATGCCCAGAAACGCAGTGGTCAAAAAAGAGCTAGCGAAATTGTGGTACCTAAGAAGGCGACGGAAATACTCATCCCGCGATAATAAACTGTTGTCCTACACAACTCATTCGGCCTGTGCTTGACTATGCCAACGCTGTTTGGTTCTCCTTCACAAAAACTAACATACAAAAATTCGACAAAGTGCAGAGGCTCGCTGTATAGGGTTCATTAGCAATTAATTCGGCACGCGTAATTCACCATCTGCGCTTTGCAGAGGGCTTGGCGTGCAGCCATTAGAAAAGAAAAACTGAACTCACGAGATTGAAACTAATTTACCAGAAATCCAATAACTTGACTAAAATAGAAAAATTAAACTACCTCATTTCCCACGATTTAAGAGCAACCGGCTCAAACCATTGGAAATTATTCGAAAAGTTCCAACCTAAAAATAATTGCTTTCTATTTTCTTCTTTTTTTCGTTAGCAGTCCAGGAAGGGAACAGTTTGCCCGAACACGCTGTCTACGCTACTTCACAAACACAGTTCATTAATGATGTCGAAGCGCACTTGATGTAAAAAATTCAATGTCTCATTCATTCCGTTTGTTTTGTATATTTCTTTACCTCTGCATAACTCTGTTTTTTCTGTACTGTGGTTACGAATCCGCGTTTTCGTGCCACCCAACGAAAATCCTCCAACCAGATTAGAATTAGTAATACTGACAAATAAATTAAAAAAAAATAATAGCACCCCAATGATACCTTGCCGGTTTTCGCGTTTTCCCGGCTTTTACGTTATACGTTATACGTTCTTTATATCGCGGTCCTTTGAGTAATGTACCAACAAGGTTATACTGTATCATCTTAACTCTATGGCCCGACCGGACAGCGTGCTCTTTAGTTTTGTCTAATTTTATTTCGACGCAACCACAAACCATTTAATGTATTTCCCAACTTGGTAGTTCGTGCCCGGTGAATAGAACAACGTGCCGTTTATATACAAGTCCACGTTTGCCTACGCCAAGTGTGGGCAGTGCAGGTGTGCAGAAACCATATTCCCATGAAGTGAAGTGTCTGCGCCTGCACCGTGCACTGGCCAAGTCTGAAGGGACAGGCTTCGGTTCAGAAAAGGAAATACTTGCCTTAGGTATAGTCTGTTCCTGGTGCCCAGTCTGCATGTAAAATATTCTCATGCAAAGCACAACTTGGAAATTGCCTGCTTCATTAGCTCTCAAGAAAGCTTGTATCGTACATAAATCACCATTAACATATACTCAGTGATTAAAAAATAGTCTCTCACGTCCAAAAATACATCTCACATCCAGACAAACCAAAACCTTATAAAGTCCACCTGTACTGGAGGGCACTATATAAACTTAAGCTTTGCAACACGTATAACCTATTCGTAATGCAACACCCGAGACTGTGGTGCGGAAACATGAAGAATCTTAAGTCGGAGAAAAAGACAACAGAAGGAGAACGTCTGAAACAGAGCTAAAAGGGTTTCATCTTTCTCGCTCCTTACATATATCCGGTGCTGATGTCACCTACTTTTTGACGGATACACTCTTAGCGGACACAACAAGCGAATGATTTTGATAACAGTAGACCCTTTCATCTAATCTGTACAACCTTTTTTTCACAATGGCTATAGCTTGAAGACACTTCCTTTTGCAACTATCAACAAAACCCTCTACAAACGATTTGGATGTCAGACAGCAATACAGAAACACACTAACCTTGCACACTGAAGTTAAAAAACAACTCGCTTATACTCATAAAAAAAATGAAAGCCGTTTACAATTCCCTGTAACGCCGGTTGGAGCACAGCTCTTGAGGAGGAGGATGGAAGCGTACTGAGGGACAGGTGACTCCTTAAGGTCACGTGACCTCATGGGAGGTCGGGTGACGTCAAGGGGGTCACGTGACCTCGGAGGAAGGGGGTCACGTGACCCCCTTCCTCCGAGGTCACGTGACCTTAAGGAGTCGCCTGTCCCTCAGTACGCTTGCCTCCGAGGCCACCTGAGGTCACGTGACCCCAGAGGGTCACGTGACCTCAGGAGAATCACGTGACCTCAGGTGGCCACGTGACCTCAGGTGGCCACGTGACCTCAGGTGGCCACGTGACCTCAGGTGGCCACGTGACCTCAGGGGGTCACGGGACTTCAGGGGTCACGTGACCTCAGTGGGGTCACGTGACCTCCGGGGGTCACGTGACCTCCGGGGGTCACGTGACCTTGACAATGACGATTTGATGACGTCATCAGTGACGTCACTGATGACATCATCAGTGATGATGACGATGACGATGCGGATGCCAATGACGTCATCAGGTTGCAGCAACCTGGATTGCATGCAACAGGCTGCATACAACTCGTTGTATGCCAGTTGCATGCAACCTGTTGCATGCAACTCCCGAAGGAATTCCTCCCGAGGTCCTACCGAAGAAACCCGAGGTCCTCCCGAAGGACCTCGGGTTTCTTCGGGACGACCTCGGGTTCCTTCTGGAGGACCTCGGGTCCCTTCGGAAAAATTTACCCATAATGCACCGCGCGGTTACGCCGACGGCGACGCCGACGGCGACGGCGACGGCGACGCCGCTCAAGCCGGAAACGGGCGCCTAAGAGCTGCGCTCCAAAAAGTAATCAGCTTATTGATGTCTTTTTCTTCGACTTAAAAGTTTCTTACTTTTTCCACGCCAGTCTTAGGTGTTACATTAGGATTAATTAGCACCAGCTCGCCTACACACTCAGTTATTTTCGTTAATGTATTTCACGGACTATAGTCCGAGAAATATGGTACTACAAGCGATTTAATGCCCAAGTGCTGGAGGGTATGCGAAAACAAAACCCGCCGGTTTAACGCAAGCGGCCATCCCTGGCATCCATACTGCTCACGCTGTCTGCACGTCGTTGCCTTCAGGTTCCCAAGAGAAGCGGGAGTTCCTGAAGCGGCGCTTCCCACAACTGCAGGACCGCAACTTTGCAAACTCTCGGGACCTGTCCTTCGAAGAGCACATCGTCCGGGAGACCGAGGGCAGGGGTGAGTCGACGTTTTGAGTTCGCCCCGCACCTCGAGACCCCGGGCCTCGAGGGCCCTCCGGATTCCCGCGTTTACCGGACGAAAGGACGGTGCGAGAGAAACGGTAGCTACGGAAGCTCGTGGGAGGGGGCCAAAGACCGTCTCGTGCACGCCCAGGGGTGGACTTGGTGCTGAACTCGCTGGCCGAGGAGAAGCTGCAGGCGAGCGTGCGCTGCCTGGCCGCCCACGGCCGCTTCCTGGAGATTGGCAAGTTCGACCTGACCCAGAACAACGCCCTGCGCATGGCGGTGTTCCTCAAGAACGTCAGCTTCCACGGCATCCTCCTGGACGCCCTGTTCAGGGACGACCCACGGGTGGCGGCGGACAAGTGCCGGGTGATCCAGCTGGTGCGCGAGGGCATCGCCTCGGGCGTCGTGCGGCCCCTGGACACCGTCTGCTTTGCCCGCGACCGCGTCGAGGAGGCCTTCCGCTTCATGGCTTCCGGCAAACACATCGGCAAGGTGGTGATCGAGGTGGGTGCCCCACGCCACTTGCCGGATCGTTCCGGCCAACGTTGACGTCGCGCTTTCTTCTTTGTACGACCGTCCTATATGTCGTACGAAAACTTTTTTGACACACGTTCGAAAAAGACGTATGAAGCAGACATCATACTTGAGGCATTTCTGCAGCTGATTCTGTTGTTGTGCCCGCAGTGAGTGTCTTTTTGCACTCGGTCGCAAGTAGTCACAATTGTTTTTGCTTCCGATCGGGCGCATTATTAGCTCTCGCGATATCTTACAAGAGGAGGCGCTGGCGACATCTATGAGGTAATCCTGAAACTGCGTTTCACTAGAGCCAACGAGGTAGAGGGGCTTAGAGCGATAAACTGGTATCCCCATCACCAGGCAAAAGTGACCCCTACTTGGCTGCCGCCATGTTGTACAATTTTAACCACTAGACACGCAAAACTGAGCCAAGATTTGTATCGCGATCGCTGTAAAAAAACATGACAAACGATTTTTTCAATACTGTTAGCCCTAAAGATTAGTGTCTAGCTCCAATAAAACCCAAAATACAGCACCGCGGCTCACGGCATCTTGCACAGAAATTGCGAAGCTGCCCGAGGTTTTGTCCTAAAAGCACATTTTAGACTTAAAACGAAGGAAACATGACTTATCTCGACGGTACTTTTATTAAAGATGAATAAGCAATTATTTCTGCGCGGTCTTAGTTAAAATTTAAGCGTAGAACTATAAGGTCACGTGTCTAGTGGACAAAAATGTGCAACATGGCGGCGGCCAATTGGGGGTCACTTTCGGCTGTCAGCTCATCAATCTAACCGCCCATTTACACTGGAAGCGGATCCCTGTTCGCAAAGCGGTTGCGAACGCCGATTGGATAAAGATCCAGTACAATTTCACGGGCACTTGATGTTATCGAGTGTGCGTGAAATTGTACTGGACCTTTATACAACCGCGTTCGCAAAGCGGTTGCGAACGCCGTTGCAGGCGCATTTGATGACATCAAGTGGGCGTGCAATTGTACTGAATCTTTATACAACCGCGTTCGCAACCGCTTTGCGAACGCGGATCTGCTTCCAGTGTGAATGAGCGGTAAGGCTCTTTACCTCGTTGACCAGAGTGAAGCTTTCGCGAGGTCAAATGTACATATAGTATGTGCGTAAAATGTTTTTTTTTATAACATTGCCAAAAGCTCTTCGAACTAATAGCGAAAGAATGATGCGCAAAAAAATGTATATCTGGCAATCGCGTGTGTTCCACGGCTATCCGATAAACGGCTCCATTGTGCTCTCTCGTCGTAAGAGAGCCTGCATTACAGGGAGGTTCCAACCGCTGAATCAGGGTCACGTGGTTTATATTTGCAATATGACCTGCGAGTAGGAGACGGAGGAGTCAGTCCTCTGCGGTCATCTCTGCCTTTCCACCCGGGTTTCTCCTTGCCACGCGAAACCACATCTCATGCGCACTTGCGATCAACCTCCTCCGGAAGCCTCCACACTCTTAAAACAAATGGTACTGTAGTACCCTCCTTAAGGGGGTAACCGGCTTGCACACAGGGAAAGTTCTTTTGGGGGTAACGTTACCCCCTTCAACAAGGGTGCAAACGTACTCCCTGGGTTAGGGTGCAACATTGCCTCCTTGTGGAGGGAACCTTAGTTCCTTTTGGGGTTAAAAGTGCATCCTTTCGAAGTCAGCTTTTACCTCCTTTAGGGGGACCTTTAACCCTATTGAGAGGTAAGACGACATATTTGAGAGGACTGCTTTTACCTACCTCGTATTGAAGGCAACAGCACCTGCTTTAGGGGGCTCGTTTCCCCTCCATATAAAGAGAACAGATGTTCCATTTAAGGGGCAATAGTACACGCCCCTAGTTTCAACTTTTACCCCCTTATGGAGGGAACTATGATCCACTTGGGGCTAAATGCGCACGATGAGGAATGCAGCTCAGAAAACGCGGACTACGAAGAACAAACATGACAGGACAGTGCAGTCCTGTCGTGTTTGTTCTTCGTAATCCGCGCTTTCTGAGCTGTTTTCCCCATCATGTATAACATCCACCAACTGGCACAGTTCACCAGCTAATTACAGGTTAAGTGTACACTGGATGTAATCACTTTTCCCCCTTAAAGGAAGGTACTATGGCCCTTTGTGAATGTGATAGTGCATGCTACAATGGTGCGCCTTATAGTAGATGAAAACGGCACTAGTTCTGAAAGTAAATGACAAGGGTTTTATTTTGGCTGTCACAAACAAAATGGCATAAGAATCAATAGCATGACTAGACATCTTATAAAAGTTCTAAGCGCAATAAAGGCATTTGGAACAACACTTTCGGGGCTCTAGTTTGCGACAGTCAATAAAATTATCACAAAAAAGTGCATAAACAATCAGTGTCTACCCGGCAAATAACTGTGAATGCTTGGAGCACTGCTTGGAACAGCGAAGCTTCATCAGGGTGAACTCAAATGACGGAGTCTTGTACAAACAAGAATCAAAATTAACGCACTGTGATATAACATACATTCAGTATAACACATATTGCAAAAAGCAATAAAAACCACGACATGGCTAGTAGTGACTAGTGCGTTGCAACTCAAGCACAGCAGTACACTATGCCCGTCCTATCCACAGTAGTGGAATAAATGCTCGAGTAGAGGAGAGCAGACTCTGCGATTTGCTCTTCTAGTATGAAAAGAAGAAAGGGCTCTATTTCCTGCTGCTAATGAGCTACAACAAACTACCGCGAGGGCCAAAGGGATCTTACCCACTTCAAATGAATCGCAAAAATCAGTTTTTTACCATCTCGTATTTAAACTCTGCAAGCCATCAAAAGCCATCTTGTATTTAAACCTTGCAAGCACAAATATCTGTGAATATAAAACCACAACCCTCAAATGCTTTCAGGCACCGAGTATGAAGTAGACTGAAATAAATTAAGTATGCCAATGCTGCACCAAGCAAAAAGCAGTGATTTTGGAAATTACAAAAATGTGACTATAAAGCATTACCATTACCTTTCTGTAACTTTCGAAATCAACCAATTTTGATGGGCACGTTACTTATGTCAGACATAAAAAAAGCATTAAACAGACGACATAAAAAAATTCCTAAACCTGCATAAAAAGGCATTAAAAATAGAAAATACTTTTTGGCATTTCTTTTAGGTTTGAAAGCAATGTGTTGCACGTGACTCCACATTTGAGTGTTTCAGAGCAATTAAGTACTCCAATGCAATGAATCTGCTCTGAACTGGTGATGGTACTCAAAGTTAAAGATGAAGTAGAGGCAGGATGCAACCAGGACTGCCTCAGCGGGCAACGCGGCTTCGAGGTCTCCCTCCAGTGCCACATAGCGCTGGGCACATCAGCAATAATTCGACTTGAGCTGACAGCCACCGGTTAAATTCAGCTGCCTGCCCGGAACAAAAAAGAAAGTGTGGAAATTATGTGACATGATATTGAAACCTATCATCCCCAATTTAAAGAAACTGTTAAGAATATTAGTTTTTTCTAAGACGCATTTGAAGCATTTCATGGGCAACTGATTCCGGCATTGAAAAGCATCAACCATACTTACCAGACGTGACCAGTTTAACTATTGACTAACCACCATTGATCAAAATTATCACATGACGGGTGGTAATTGTAGATTAGTGTGCACTTTGTATTCACCGGTCATGTTTAAATTTGTCCCGCCGATTTACTTAGATGACTAGCAAATCGTAGTCAAAGACGTACAACTACTGTAGCAGGTTAGTACTGACAAGTGCTGATTGTTGGACGAGTTGGTATTGCACATGAAGAACAAACATGATTGCGCTTTAAGACAAGGACGGAGGAAGAACATACACCACAGAGCCTTACACCACATTAGCTACTCAGCACCACAGCAGACTCCCATGACCGCCAACCCTAACTGCCGAACTTCGGGAAATATATATATATATTTTTTTTTGCCGAAGTGCTTCGCCAGACTAAAATTTAATGTATGTTTTATATAGACATGAGAAGAACAGCAGACAAGGACGAAAACACAGAAAAATAACACACCAAAAACGACACACTTAATCGTCTTGTATGTTTTACTTATTTACTCGAAGTATACCCTCAATTTTCTCTGAAAAAATGAACGAACACCACACACACACACAAAAAAACATAAAAATCAAGAGCCTCATTTCAAGTGCCCAAATGCGAGCAAGAATATCAAAACAAAATATCTGACTACGCTTACCTGCAGTAAACAGTGTTAAGCACTGTCACGAGATGCGTCCAAGGTAGCAGGCATCCAGTACCCTTGACCAAATCAACCAACAACTTTGACGCAGGACGAAAGAAATATATTCAATAAAGTTCAAATAATGCAAACTTGAGCCATATCTAACTCGCCTACGGAATGATCAGACTTTTAGAAATGCCTGGTCACACGCAAAGAAAATGCCAATACAACAATATAATTGCTAGTCTCGCTGCCGGTAACAACTTTATGACCTTATTCCGTAGTATACTAATGTTAATATTTGTGAAGCGCACGAATAATTAGCTGAGACATTTATATTCGGCATCTAAAGGTTACGTGACGTTTTACAAAAATATTTATGGAACCACTCACTTTTACAAATATCAACGACGCTGAGAAATAATCACGCCGATTGGCCGGTGCCGCAATGAATGCCTGATCGACTCCTGCTCTGCGAAAAACAAAAAAAACAAAAAGCAATCTTATGAGATTTTCAATCATTTTATCATATCCTAAATTTAACGTCGGACGCGACACGCCAACGACCCCAAAAAGAAAAACCTCCTTCCCCCTCCCACTCTAAAAGCACATTCATACCGGCGATGTAGGCAGTCGAGCGATGCGACTAGATCGCATCAAAAATAATTAGATGGGCATACTGGTGTGCGCGATGAGCGAGTCCAACGCCTTCGTCGGCGAGTCTTTCTCGAAAACTCTCGCTCCGAACGCCGTTGATTGGCCCAGCCGCTCTGCGACTAAATCGCATTGCACAAAGTCGGGTCAGCAAGCGACTGTTCAAATCGCGTCGCTTTTTGCCCGCGACGGTCGCTTTTGTGGTGAAAGTGATCGCGCGACTAGATCGCACCGCCGGTGTGAACGCGCCTTAGACGCAGGCGACCCCCGATTCAAAAGGCGTCTTGTCGCCCGGCCGTCCGGCTCCAGGCTTGCCGGGAGCCGTGCGGCCGGGCGGCTCCAGGCTTGCCAGGCTTGCCCGCACACACATACACTGGGAAAAGCTCCTGGCTACGCAACTGGTTAACGTATGTCAATCTTATAAATATGCGTTGGTGCAAGCGACAGTCATTCTATTTCTCGCTTTTTATGAACTTCGATGGTCTAAACCGTGTCTGCGTTCGCGCCACCCAATAATTTCATCGAACGCTCGACGCCTTCAAACGGGAAAACATGTCCGCCACCCCTTGTCTAGTGAAAACGGGGGTCGCTTTCCCGGGGCCGTCAAAACCGAAGCCAAGCGTCGCCCGGGCAGAACATTTTCCTACCTGCATACGGTTAACACGACTTGAATCTTCGACTGAAGTAAATGCAGCGCTCTCGGTGACTTCATAAAAAGAAACTGAACCGAACAGAACAATAAACAACGTTCCTGCGCTGGGAAGCCTCCGTCGAACGTTCGAGAAGAAAGACCGTTATGACCGGAGGGGAGCGTCGGCGGGGAACGCGTCGGCACCAGGCGGGCGCTCGCCCACGGATTCGCGAAGAATGGCGTGTTATAGGAGGAGACCAATTAGCAAACTCGTTTGCGCCTTTCCACAGCCGATCGCAGCGCCCAGGCTTTGGCAGCGCCGAAACAGGTCCACCCTCTGGGAGGTAATATTTACCTCGTTGCTGCTCCTTCGCGGCGAACTTCACTTTGTAGCAACGTATTGCTAGTGTCTGCTGCGCCTGAGGAGGTAACAAGCGGAGCGCTTCCCCCCTGGCCGGGAAGAGGGGGGTAAAGGCAGTATGCTACCTCTTTTTTTTTTTTTTCTAAGAGTGCACCATTAAATTGCGGAGGCTCTCCGTGGTTTGAGATGCATCCCCTATACTTCTAGGCTCTACTCTCGTCATAAGAGATCACGAGAGGTGGTAATGCACTCAGTCGTAAGAAGGGTGAGTGTGTGACCCGACCTTTAGACTGCACAACAGTGCACAAACCAAACTTGAGTGTGTGAACCAGCTTACAGGGTGAATTCGGAAGATTGTCATTGTGTCGCGTTTTGATCCTCACTGGAGCGTCGCCGTTTTCTTCGTCGCCCGACTTGTTTCCGCCACGTTAAGCGGACGGTCAGAGGCACTGCTCACTGCAACCACGTAAAGCTCCTCGATGTGTCAAAAGCTCTTTGCGCGTCAAATTTGCCAAAACACGAGGCCTGTGCCTCGTGCGGCGAAAGGAAATGGCGGTGCCTCTCTAAAATTAGCCGCCCTTAGAAGCGAATGGTGACCGATCACTCGTTCGTGCGCGCGTTTCGAGCAACAATGATAATAATAATTCTCTATTTTCTTCCTCCTCCAGGAGAACTTCGAGGTTTTCGGGAGTCGAAAACAATTATTTTCGGTACTTGAAACAAACAAGAAGCGTGAAGTTTACAGAGGGGCCTTACCACCCAAAGCGTCTTCTCCCAGGTGCGGCCCGAAGAGCCCCAGCGGCAGATGATGGCGCCAACGCCGCTCTTGGTGGAGGCCCACACGCGCACCTGCTTCTTCGAGGACAAGAGCTACGTGGTGGCCGGGGGCCTGGGCGGCTTCGGCCTGGAGCTGGCCGACTGGATGGTGGTCCGGGGCTGCCGCAGGCTGCTGCTCACGGCCCGCTCGGGCGTCCGCACGGGCTACCAGCGCCTCTGCCTGCACCGCTGGCGGCTGGCCGGCGCCAAGGTGGCGGTGAGCCGGGCGGACGCGGCCACCGAGGAGGGCGCCAGGGCGCTGCTGCAGGAGGCCGCCGCCCTCGGCCCCGTGGGCGGCATCTTCAACCTCGCCCTGGTGGGTGGCGCCTGCCGGCGGCGTACGCGTCGGACTCTTTTTGAAATTTAGTGGCATCTGGTGGCTCGAAAAGCAGTTTCACTTTTTGGCAAACTAATGGCAGTGACGAAGCTTTATTAATTAGTTCGAGCATCGTCATTTTCGCGTGTCGGTGGCAGACGAGAAATGGTTCTCCGATCGAGGGAATTTTTTCGAGTAGCGAGCAGCTTCTAGGGCGTCGCCTGCGAACAACAAATGAAGGGCAACCCAACGTTGTCCCGGCTTTCTTTCCATTTGTTAGATCACACTGGAATTGTACGATTGTGACGGTTTTTGTGTCCTTTTTATGCTTTGTGCTACTTATGCTCAAATATTAATCGTCAACAAAGGCAGAATTTGCGCAGATAAGTGCAGACAATGGTGGCTATAAATGGCGCCAGCAGAAGGCAAAGGTCAGAGGTAAAAGGGTAGCCATGCGCATAGGCTTACTTGAAAGATGTCACATGGCGGGAAAAGCTATGCCCAGGTTTATTCTGGTGACCTGATAATTGTCATTGCTTCTATAAGAAACTAGTGGATGTTGTTCTTTCGTAACAAGGGTTGCCCTTTGGAGACTTAGAAGGGGAACAGTCGACTCTGAGGGACGCACGACGACAATTTGGGAAATGCATGAAAGCGCATGTGCGGTTAATCGCCACCTCATGTCGTCCCACCTGCTGCTTCTCCTGCAAGAGCGACGGCCGCTTCTCCCTCAATATTGCAGTAAAAAAATTAAGGTCCATCGCGATACTCCACAGTGGAAGCGGAACATCTACGGTTACTCTAGTCGCAGGGAAACGCGGATGCGTGAGTCGTTCCTCAGAGGGGGCGTGTGTGGAGCGCAGGTGCTCAGGGACGCCCTGCTGGAGAACCAGACGGCGGAGGCGTTCGAGGCGGTGTGCCGCCCCAAGGTGGCCGGCACCCTGCACCTGGATGCGGCATCCCGGAAGCTGTGTCCTCAGCTGGACCACTTCGTGGCCTTCTCGTCGGTGTCGTGCGGCCGGGGCAACGGGGGCCAGACCAACTACGGCTACGCCAACTCCGTCATGGAGCGCGTCTGCGAGAAGAGGGTGGCCGACGGACTGCCTGGTGGGTGTCTCTTGCTCCGATGCACGGGTTATCGGACTTTACGATCTGGAGGAACTAGGTTATTGAGAATATTCAATTAGTGGTACCGATTAATGCGTTTTTTTATATTTATCTTTGGGGTAAACAGCAATATTCATACTCATCGAAGTATGATTGCGACGGCTCCGCGGGTATTGCTTTGCCACGGTGCACAGGTGCTCGTCGCGAAGTGCACTCAACGGGACTAACACGCCGCTATGAACGTTTCGAAAAGTACAAATATTCCAGTTCACCTAGAGGCAAATCTGAAATAGCGTGTCATTCGAAACTGCTATTAGTAAATTTGAACATTTGCGCAACAGTACTTCAATGACGGCTGAGGAACTCCTCCTAAACTCGGCATTGATGCGAAAAAGCGGTTGAGAAGCCTAAAAATACCATGATATGTACACAGTGGGGATTGTCTGGGTCATGGTGTTCATCAGTGTATGGCTCACATTTTTCGAAGTAGTGCTTACATTCGCTCGAAACTTTGGCTTAGGGACCGGAGCGTCCAAGGAAATGGTTTGGGGAACCCATGAGGGTACTTTCGAGAGCCCCTGAGTTCCTGGACTCAATAGACCGATCTCACCGGCCAGTTTGACTACGCCACCGCTGCCGCAATGCAGGGGGGGGGGGACTTTAGTCTTGGGCACGTGCGACAACCTCGCTGGAGCTCTTCGCGTATAGAGCACGAGAAGGCACGAGCCCTCGCGTGCGCGGCCGTCTGCCTCCTGTGAACTAAAGTTATGGCGGCTTTACGCATGCGCCCAACGCTTAGTGAGATCGGTCTATTGTCTCTGGGGCATCGTGTTAGATACACCTTTGTGCATCTATCGAATATAGTACCATGTTGTGCTTGCAACCTTCTCAAAATTTCAGCAATTCTAACCGTCTCCTTAAAAAACTTGAATGTGCACTTCTGCGCACAGATGGACACGTCGCTCGTCACTACGATGACCGGAACTGCCGGAACCGCACCAAATATGTCTTTCCTGGCACGAGATCTTTGAGAAGCATTATGTTAATTACCTTTGTAAATTCATCGTGCAGGACTTGCTCAGAGATGTCTCAATGACAAACGTCCCATCCATCGTGTAAAATACTACTTTTTATGTGAGGACACGCTGCCTGAAAAATGCTTCTAAGCGATCGACTGCATAAAGTCCTGTTGCTACGTGCCCGAGTAGCCAATGTCAAGAGCGTCACCGTGTGCCTAAGAGCGCAGCTTAGTAAAAAAAAAGAAACAAAAACAAACAAAAAAGTGCTGCATTGTCGTGGCATCCGCGTGCAAGCACTTTTTGCTCGGTGCATCCACTCCGACCTTAGAGGACGCTGGCTCGAACGCTGCATCAAAAATGTCTCCACTTCAATGCGTTCACAAAACTTGTTGCCTTTAATCGAGGCACGAAACTAGGGTAAATAGAGAGTTTTAGAATAATTAATGATATTATAATCTCATTTGTGCTAAATTTGGTACTTGTGGCGTCCACACGCGCGATACCCACACCTCTATAGACCTTTTCACCCTCCGCCGCATGGGCGCTGCCATCTTGGAATCACGTGATGCGGCCGCCATTAGGTTGCTTCAACTTGTTGCTCCGCTCTCCCGTCCGCGCCTTGGCGTATGCGTTGAATTCGTGTTTTTCGTCGCGTTTCACCGCGTCTCTTGCAAGTTGCCTTACTCCGTAAAGTGTCTTCCGATGCTTATATTTGCCATGCAATTGCATTACATCATTATGTGCGCAACTTCTGTAGTTGATTTTGTAACACGTTTTGAATATTTCTTACCGTCGGCGTGTGGGATACGTGTGAAAAGGTTTTAGAGGAACAGGAATCAGCGTTAGCACTTGCGCACATTGAATATCGAGGGTTCAAAAACCAATAACTTATGAGAACTGAGGTTTGATTACTAATAAGGGCGGAACATTTGCAATAGGAAACCCAATGTTCTTATATATATGAGTGCGCATTGGTGTCAAGAAAGGAAAGAAAAACACTCAGCGTAATTAGCCACGTGTTTTTCCTGAAAACATGGTGTTTTGTAGTTAAAACAGATCGAAAACAGTTTCTTTTGATTATACCAGGGAACTTGTGGACAAGACGCGCGGGAACAAACATTTAGTTTGAATTATTTTTTATGCTAGGAACAATGGTACCTTAACATTAGGCAACTTGTTCGTTCGGAATATCACACCTATATCTGTTTTACGTTCTTAATCGCGTGTGTGATATGAGCATTCGCTTCATCGGTTTATTTAGGAATTGATTGTATATCGTGCTTGGTCCCATGTCCATAGTGTTTAAGTTGCTTGAGTCATTTTTTAATAGAACCATGCAGTTTCAATTAATTTATTTCAACACAAATATTTGAACTTCCCGCGTAAGAAACTGTCACAGACAGCTTGATAGTGCCTATAATTCACAAAATGCGGCGCCGAAAAGAATCCTTCTGCATAAAAATCACCCGAGTGCAGCCGGTTGTCGACGGCGAATAGGGATTTACTTTCAGTAGCTGGCGACGTCAAAATGTGCAAAGCGCATCGCTTCAAATCAGTGAACAGCTTTCTACACAGGTCCTTGTCTACGTGATTATATGAAACTTTTCTAGTCATTATAAAAGACGTTTCGAGTCACGAAGTTAGAAAAGGTTGGTGTACGGAAACCAAGCATCGAACAGTAAACTTGTCAGTTCATCTGTTCTTGGTGATTCAGCAGATTGTTAATCATGTTGTCGACCTGCTTTTTCACTAAGCACTCATGCAATATAGTCTGTTGCAATATAAGATGATCAGTTCAATATCTGACTTGAGCGCGAGCTATCTACCTTGCGTACCGCTCGGTGCACGCACAGCCAAAGCACGGCGGCAGGCAACGAGCGCACGCTGCAGGCGGAGTTTGTCCTGCTCTTTACTTTTTTTTCTTCTTAAAATTAGTGTCCGCGGGTACGGCCGTGGACAATGGTGCTCCTCCCTGTGCATCAGCGCAGTTGTTTCACCGCCGAACCTGGCCGAAATTAACGATGGACGGAATCAGACGCATATAGTGTTCGTAAAAAAAAGATCGCAATTTAGGCTCGAAACCACTCTGTGGTTTGCCAAGTGGCTCAATACTATTGTTTCATTCGCTGTGTGCTACTAGAAAGAAATTCATATCGTAAAATTAATCGAAAGTGGCATGAAACAGCATCACAATCACTTGCACGTTGAAACCGAAACCGACCAAATTGAAGCAACCTAATGGCGGCGAGTGCGCCAGCGCCCTCTACCCGCCGGTCAGGCAACTACTGAAATGAAAAGGTCTGCTCCGTGGTCCCGGAAAACCACGAAGGATCGTCGTACTTACCAGAAAAGCAAGATGAGCTAAGTTTGAAATTTGTGCCGATATAGTGGAACAACCTAGTGAGTTGGAGGCGACAGATGCGCAAACTGGACTCCAGGCCGGACGACCCCCACTAACCTCCCTCGTCCCCCCAGGCCTGGCCATCCAGTGGGGTGCCATCGACGACGTGGGCATCCTGTGGGAGACGATGGGGGCGGACGTGGCGGTGGGCGGCACGGTGCCTCAGCGCATCAGCTCATGCCTGACGGTGCTGGACCGCTTCCTGCGCCAGGGCCACCCCGTGGTTTCGAGCTTGGTCAAGGCTGACCTCGCTTCCGGGGCCAAGGCCAAAGGCAAGCAAGACCTTGTCCAGTCCGTGGCACACATCTTCGGTAAGTCCTCCTCCTTTTGCTCATCGTGGGAGGTGCCAAGATTGGTTCACACCCTTGCGACAACAGAAAGGAGTGAAGCAACAATGTTTGTACTTTGCAGAAATTATATTTAGTATTAATACCCTACCGTTATAATTTATGAAACACGCGTTAGTTTTAAGGCAAAATCCTTATATGTCCCAATACGGTAAAAGGCGGCGTCGACGTTGTGCCCGAAAGATGGCCATAAAAATGCGCCATCAAGCACGCGCCGCTCAAGGTCAAACCGGACGCGTCTCAGAAATAAAATACAAAGAAAAGCAGAGCAACGCACATGCTTCGTCACGGAAGCCGTGAAGCCGGCGTGGGCGCCGCGCTTTCGAATTGTGGGAGCGTGATGTCACCACCAGACTGCAGTACGTGCTGGAGGAAGACGTGGCGCGTTGCCTCCGGCGCGTCAGTTGCGTTTCGGACTTCATCTGTGCTCGTCGCGGCCTTCGTGCGATTGACTCTGAGGCGACCGCGTCTACGTCTACGGCCTCGACACCGTCAAAAGCATCTACATCTACGGCGGCTTCCGCAGGCAAACCTGGCCGCCTACACAAGTACGCCACAGCCAAGAAAGCAGGCCAACGAATACGCAGACACACACACCGAATTCAATACCGGCAGAAGTCACTTTGGTACGTGTAGAAACATTACTCGAAAACATTTCACCCGCGGGACTACAATATTTTCGCATTCCGTCATATAAGCAGTCTTAAATGTTTCCGGCTTGTTTTTTTTTTTTTTTTTTCTCCTCATGCGATGGTGGTCGCAAAAAAAAAATTGTAAAAAACATGAGCGCCTTTTTTCTTTCAACTGGCATCAGCAGCCGCGTAATCTGGAGCCGATCGTATGCCGCCAATGTTTATCAGAACCAGACGTCGTTAGGGGTTCGGGCATTGTCGTCATTGTAGTGATTGGACACGAGCCACTACCCGAATGCTCGTCAAGTTAGTGATTATCGCGAGTCCAAATCGAGTGCTCGTGCAATGCTCGGGTCCACACTCTAAAAAAATTTCTGCGTCTGCTTTCACGCAGAGTACTCGGAAAGCCAATCACCGCAACTTACGGAGGCAGCTCAGCGAATGACACTGCCAAAACATATGTTTAGACCAAAAAACACAGTCTGAGTTGTGACATTAAGCAATGCAAAACGCCACGCTTGCATTGCTTAATGCCACAACTCAGACTGCGTTTTTTGGTCTGAACATAAGTTTCGGCAGTGTCATTCGCTGAGCTGCCTCCGTAAGTTGCGGTGATTGGCTCTCCGAGTGCTGTGCGGGAAAGCAAACTCACCGGCTTTTTTTAGAGTGCAGTCTACGAGCCGCATTCAAATATTGTCACTGGGGGCTACGCCAACAATGCGACCTCTAAACTAAGTCGTAAAGTTTTCCCAAGAGATCGAAAAAAAATGCTCGCTTTTATTTTTGAAATTATACGGCAACAAAGAAGTTTTTTCGTCAGTGGCGTTGCGTGCGAGCATATACTTAAGAATTCCTAGTGCAAGTAAGCTCGTGTAAAGTGAAACACATTCCAAGCGAATATCATTGCAGGGTTCCTTTGAGACCGACTGCATTCCGACCTCTCGCGTTATCTTACGAGAGAATGTGCTGCTACACTAATGCCGTCAATGAGGGGACCCTGGAACTGCATTTCACTAGAGCGTAGGTTTTTCGGCATTTGTAAGACCAAATGTACTATCTATCTATGAGAAATGATAGTTTTTGACATTGTCCAAAATTTATTGAGCGCAGAATGAAAGAATGATGCGCGAAACTAAAGGCAATATACGGAGATGCGAAGCGCTCCACTCCCTCCTAAGCAGTTGTACGTGTGTGAACCAGCCGAGCGTTACTCTAAAGTCTAGGCAGCGCAGTGGGGCTCTGGGAACGTGTTCCGTCAGGTGACTCGCGGGGTCGTAGTGGTGGCGACCTGAGCTGGCGCTCTCCGGCTGCAGGTGTGAAGGACCCTTCAAGCCTGAACCCCTCCCTGACCCTGGGGGAGCTGGGCATGGACTCCCTGATGGGCATCGAGGTGATGCAGACCATCCAGAGGGACTACGACCTCAACCTGTCCATGCAGGAGATTCGGCAGCTCAGCATCGGTCGACTCAGGGAGATCGGCGAAGGGGCCGCGATTGGAGGCTCCGCCGCGCCCAAGGAGCCAGGTGGGCCTTCCCCTCTCTCGCGACACGAGGAAGCGTTTAGGGCGGCGAGACCCACCGCTCGGTCGAAGCGAAGGGGCATCCGATTAGAACAGCACTCCGGAAATTTTAACGCGGACCTACAACAAAATTTCGAAGCTTATTTCTTGGTATCTTCGTGTTCAATGGAACATTATCATATCAGACACACCAATTGCTTGTTGAAAAATAAATGAAATGTAATTTCAAAACGAATTAAACTATTAGCAAAAAGCACCTGGTAGATGTCGCTAACACCTCGTTTGTAGTGCCCGTCTGGGAACCTTGACATGTAGTGAAGATTGCTCTCCCTCCTCCAGCCACGACGAGAGAAAAGCTGAAGGAGGGACTACCCTCTCCCCGAGACTCTCTTTTGTGTGTTTCGGAAGTCAGTATTGTCCCTCTTCAAGATTATAGGAGATTAACCCGTCACTCAAAATTCGTACAAAGGCAGCTTTGGGGTTACTTCCGGTGGCCCGATCGCTAGTGTGTTTCGGCCGCTTTCAGCGGGTGCTACGAGCCATCGGGGCCTATCCAAGGCCGTGTGATTGGCACGTGACCTTGGAGAGGGGGCACAGCGACGAGCCAAAATCGTATCATGAGCGACGTCCACAGAGTGGGTTTGGCTGAGATAGCTCGCAGCGTCCGCTGCGTCCGGACGTAAGGTTTCGAGACAAATTACGTCATGATTGCGGCAGATGTGACGTGCTCTCCGCTGGCTGCTCTCCCAGCGTTTGCCAGAGTGGGCCGTTTATAATGACAAATAGAGCCATCAGGCACAAAATACAAACGTGCATTTGTCATTTACGGATATTGTGGATCATATTCAGCCAATTTGGGAACACGACGGGTATATTTCAAGTTTCGATGAAGTATCCCTTTAAAGGCTGGGATCGCCTAGCGAATTGCGACGGAATGCCGCAGAAACTGTTGCTAAACGTGTTACACATACCTCGGAGAACAACCTGTACAAAAAAGACATCTTGTCGCGGGTGGTGAACAAAAGAACAATAAATAAAGAGGAAGAAATAAGCATTTAATAGGGTGAAATCGTACACAAAACAAAAAGGAAACAGAGGATAACAAGATAGTGTCGCGGACGTCGAAGTCGGCGTAGCAGCAAAAACGAGAGTTCCAAACACGGCGTTTGGAACTCTCGACAAGGTGGCCATGGATATTGGTGGGCAGCTGGTGACGGCCGTCCTACCATTGAAGCGAAGGTTGCCAACTGCTCTTCGGGATCAGCGACGTAGACAGGAGCCTCCTTGAAAGGCTCGCTGCACTTCTTCTTGGACGAGCTTAGTAAGAGACAGCGCAGCTCGTCGATCTGTCGCCGGCACCAGCTTCCTAAGCTCGTCTCTGACAATCTCACAGATCGCAGAGAGGTCAGAGCTGGGGGAACCGATGCTGCTGTTCGACGGTGCAATTATGGTGGCGTCGGAAAACCTCTGGTAATCGTCCGCCCTCGTGAGGAGCGCCCTTTACAGGCTGGTTCACTTTGATACGAGGCATTCCATTGTTGTTGGAGGGAAGCGAAAAAGGCCGCCGAAAATGTCATCCCTGACACCTCGTATGAGTACCAGCCGCATATCTTCCCCGGTTGCATGCGGGTCAGCGTGGGCGAACAGGCGGAGGATGTTTTCATAGAAACTGGTGACGCTTTCTGTGGGTTCCTAGCTCCTCCCTCGAAGAAGGTTTTCAGCCGCTTACGTCGGTGCTGACTGAAATATGTTTCCATCAGCTGGTTCTTACAAACGTCCCACGTGGTCAAGGCGACTTGGTGATTTTCGTATCACTGCCTTTCAGTTCCTTCCACCGAGAAGTAGGTGTTTTGGAGGCGTAGCTCATCAGTTCATCCGTTTTGGTGGTCTTCCTGGTCGTACTGCTGGAGCCAGTCTTCTACGTCCTTGTAGATTTAACCGTGAAATGGCGTCGGCGCATGGAGAACCACAGGCAAGAACACGCAGGACGACGCTGTTGGGGGGTTTTCTGTTTGCTGGGCCGAGGAGCTCATCGTCGGCTTCGATAGCTTTTTCGTCTTGTCCGGCAGTGGTCCAAACTCAGGGAGTTGTTCTCGGAGGCGCTCGCATGCTCAGGGCCCTTTCTATTTTACAAAAGGTCGGCTTGGAGTGGGGCTTGCTGAACGGGTCCTCGGAGGGGAACGGTTAAGAAACATAGGGTGCGTACCCCCCACCTTAACCAGAATGTCACGGGTGACGACCAGAGAACAATAAATAAATAGAAATAATTAAACGCCTAATGGGGCGAACTTGTGCCCAAAATAAAGGAGGAAACAGAATACAACAGCAAAGCAGGCTCGGAAGTCGAAGTCGGCGTAGCAGCAGGATCGAGCGCCGGCGGAGAAGTGACTGCCGCTCGCAACGCGTCCCTTATGTACACGCACGGGCATCCGGAGAGTTAAAGTTGTTCCTCCCGGTGGTGTGGGAGGCAGGTTCCGCTTCGATGGTCTGGAGCGTGGTGGCACGAACGTCGCTGAGTGACGGGTCGACTCACTGCTTGAATAGAACTATGTGCATTTATTTACACTCTAGTTACAAGTCCCAACTTGGGAAACCATCCTGCCTCGTCTAAAGTCTCGACCCCCGTCCCCAATTTCTCTCCATCCAATCCAAAGTCCGAATTCCTCAAAATCCTCTCCGCGCTCCTTTTGTAGGCCCGTAGGGGCCTCCTTTCCCCTCAGGAGCCGACCAATCTCTTCAAATTCCGCCACTCACACGTGGTACACTGTTCTCCAATGGTCGGCCAGCTGTCATTTTAGCGTCCCAACCGCCAAACCCAAACTCCTTGTAGAGTTGTTCTCTGCAATTTTCCCAGCCTGACTGGCGCCAACCGCTAAATTATTGCATCGGGCAAAAAGGACAATTTTACACTAAGCGGCAAAACCCTCTGCATACACGCACATTCGGTTATAAGCCACAAGCATCTTCCAGCGCGGGCTCTTTCGGTCCCGGTCCGAGCAGACCCCCGAAACCCGAGACGCTTCTTAACGACCGGCGGGGGGACCGCTCCCGCGTCGCGGCCGCTCTGGCCCCGCCGACCCAAACGTAGAAAGCTAAAAAAACACAATGCCGACGCAACTCTGGAAAGATAAACTTTCCTAACCAAAAGAAAACACCTTAATTAATAAGCACGACTCCTAAATACTTAACTCCTCCCCACCAAGACTGTTGCGTTGACACTTGATGTAAGCGCAACATAAATTCCTTCCCCGAATATCGCACTGGCAAATATTCGAACCAACTACTTGGCCCACAGTTAACCAAAAGCAACAACGTCAACATCACGCTCTAGAAGTTCACCAACTGCTCATCCTTAAATGTCAACAAAATCAAACGGCACCGATAAAAAAAAAAGGAAATGATTACAATTTCAAAACCAGAAACACTAAAACGGCTGCCGCAGGCAAAACGTCCAACACACACCAGACTGGGCACACAAAAGAAAAATTTCCGTGATAGCTGTCATGTTCAAAGTCAAACTGCCACCCACGATCACACACAAGTTGGACCCACTCCTGTACATTCCAGGGTCCCGCAAAATCAGTGGTGGGAGCTCTCAAAACTGTGGCAGAATGACCACGCCCTAATCATGCCCATTTAGCCTCGACATGCTGCAAGACACGTTTCAATTACGTGCGTACACTCAAATTTCTCCCGCAGAGAATATAAACCGTACACAAAAAGTATATATTTCGTAGAATATATAATTTCGAGAGGCCAACCGAAGAGCAAAATAAACATGAATCAGGAGGGCAGTGAAATAAAAGTAGACTAAGGTCGAAATAAAAATCTAGTAGCCTGGCTAGCTACCCCCCTAATCGTGGCCGTTTTGTCGTCCACCTCGTCGCCGTTAAAGGCGTTCTGAGGACTGCCCTGGGCGGCGCGCAGTCAGTCGCTTCCGCGGCACTCGCCGATCCCGAGCCCAAGCCTGAAGTCTGCTGTTCAAGCGTGCGAGCCCCGGGCACCGACCGGTTTGGCTTCCTCCTCTCACCTGTGCTCATTCCGCGCCTGCCGTTCCCGCAGCCCCTTGCGTCCAGACTCCCCCTTCTGTAGCAGCTCGACTCAACTTTCTTCCTGGGAGTCGCCCTGCGATGCACCGCCGTCTTGACCTTCGGCGACGACATGGCCGCGGTCCCGAAGTCAGTGCCTCTCCGCAGTCGGAGCCTCCGTCTCGACGCCTGGATCGGAGGGATCTCGACCCTTTCCGCCGTCACCTCGCCGTCGTCCAGGTTCTCACCGTGGCCGTCTGCGTCGTAACCCGGAGCCGATGCAGGGTCGGACCCGGAGCACCCCTCGACCGCCGACCCCGACCTGTCGATCCGCCTCTTGCGCGGCTGCTTCGTTCCAGCCTGGGACGGCCCTTGCATCCCCAGAGCCGCGGTGACCGGTGCGCCGGGGTTCCCTGGATCCCGGCGCTCGATGTCGCCAACCGGGTTCGTCCCCTCGTCGCTGCCGTCACCATCGCTCCCGCTCTCGCTTTCGTCTCCTTGCGTCACCGGATCACCGGCGGGTGCATCTGCCTCGTCGGCGCCAGCTCTCCTCTGAACGTGCTTCGCCTTGCGGCCGCCGCGGTCCTCGCCATACGCGTTGTCCTCGCGGTCTTCTTCCGGATTTTCGAGCTTCTGCCGCTCATTCAAGATTTCGGGCAACCCGTCGGCGTCGTCCATTTTTCCGGTGGGCTTTGGGTGCCCCCTACCTGTCTGGACCGCCGGCTCGACCTCGATGTCGCCGTGGTCATCGCCGTCCGCGTCTGTCTTCTCGGTGGGTTTGGAGTGTACGTTGTCTGTTTTGACAACCGCATCGGATGCGCCGCCCGCTCCGACCCGGCCCTCGTCTTTCCTACCGCGGCGCGACTTCTCTTCTGCCTGCTTCAGATTAAATTGGGCGATCTCGAGCCTGGCTTTTAGAGCTGCAATTTTTAGCTCAAACGCGTTATCGCCCTCACTCCCTTCGCCGCTGTCACCATCGCTCACGCTTTCGCAGCGGGCCTCGATGTTCACCTGTTCCGGGCATGTCGTCCACGGCAGCAGGATACTTTCCCACTCCACTAGGTGTTGTTCGCCCGTCTTGACGACCACCTCGAATTTCCCATTCGCTCCAACCTGGCCCTTATCTTTCCCACCGCGGCGCCAATTCTCCTCGTCCTGATTAGCGTAAAATTTGGCTATCTCGAGTTTGAGTCTTAAAGATGCAATTTTTAGCTGGAGAGCGTTCTCCCTTTCACTCCCTCCCCCCTTTGATACGTCATCCAACATTGCCGGGCTCTTATCACCGTTCTAACTCATTGTACGTCGAGCTCTTTTAGTCATCGACCGCGACACCACTGACATGCGAAACCCGGAGGAAACAGAAATGAGTCCCACCTGTGTCAGTGCGCCGCTCCTGAGGCGATGATCTTCCGGTGTCGCTGGACGTCACCCGCCGGAGTCGGTCCTGGGCTCGGGTACCGGCTGGTCCGTTCTTCGGGTCGCAACACCACGCAACCTCTCACGTAGACGGTGCTGCGTCGTCGCTGCACTTTGGACCGCCGCACACGAAGCTTCTCGCGTAGATGTTGCTCCGTCCGCTTCTTCTCTTCGGGTCGAAACCCACGAGGCCTCTCACAGGGATGTCGCCTCGTCCCCTTTGGGTCGAAACCCACAAGGCCTCTCACGAGGATGTCGCCTTGTTCTCTTCGGGTCGAAACCCACGAGGCCTCTCACAGGGATGTCGCCTCGTCCACTTCGGGTCAAACCCCACCAAGACCTCTCACGGGGATGTCGTCCTGGTCACTTCGGGCCGGAGCCCACGAGGCTTCTCACGTGGATGTTGCCTCGTCCACCGTTGACGTCGGGTCGAAACCCCCAAGACCTCTCCCGTAGATGCCGTCTTGGTCACTTCGGGCCGGAGCCCACGAGGCTTCTCACAGGGATGCTGCCTCGTCCACCGTTGAGCCGAAGCTCACGTACTTGCCCGCAGGTCGCCGCCACGTCGTCTCACCGGAAATCGCGCCACCATCCTGTCGACTGCGCCAGTTAAAGTTGTTCCTCCCGGTAGGTGTGGGAGGCAGGTTCCGCTTCGATGGTCTGGAGCGTGGTGGCACGAACGTCGCTGAGTGACGGGTCGACTCACTGCTTGAATAGAACTATGTGCATTTATTTACACTCTAGTTACAAGTCCCAACTTGGGAAACCATCCTGCCTCGTCTAAAGTCTCGACCCCCGTCCCCAATTTCTCTCCATCCAATCCAAAGTCCGAATTCCTCAAAATCCTCTCCGCGCTCCTTTTGTAGGCCCGTAGGGGCCTCCTTTCCCCTCAGGAGCCGACCAATCTCTTCAAATTCCGCCACTCACACGTGGTACACTGTTCTCCAATGGTCGGCCAGCTGTCATTTTAGCGTCCCAACCGCCAAACCCAAACTCCTTGTAGAGTTGTTCTCTGCAATTTTCCCAGCCTGACTGGCGCCAACCGCTAAATTATTGCATCGGGCAAAAAGGACAATTTTACACTAAGCGGCAAAACCCTCTGCATACACGCACATTCGGTTATAAGCCACAAGCATCTTCCAGCGCGGGCTCTTTCGGTCCCGGTCCGAGCAGACCCCCGAAACCCGAGACGCTTCTTAACGACCGGCGGGGGGACCGCTCCCGCGTCGCGGCCGCTCTGGCCCCGCCGACCCAAACGTAGAAAGCTAAAAAAACACAATGCCGACGCAACTCTGGAAAGATAAACTTTCCTAACCAAAAGAAAACACCTTAATTAATAAGCACGACTCCTAAATACTTAACTCGGAGCAATCGGCGCAGAAGGTTCTGTGAGTAAAATAGTCGGGCCTCGAGTAAACAGCAATGTTCTCGAATTCACTAGAACGCGAAATTTACAAAAATACCAAACAGGCGCGTCCGCTCCCAGGCGTCCAACTTCGAGCCCTTTTGCGTACAAACCGAAGACAATAGACAGTTTTAGTGGACCGTACGCTATAGCTTTGCGTACGCAAGGAAATTGCGGGTCGTGAGTGCGCATGCGCAGAACGCAATAGAAGGGCTAGCGTATTGCGTACGCACGCAACGCTGGGGATTTTCCGTTGCTGGCTAGCGGGCCTTCCGGGACGCTCTCGAGAGATCTCGGACCCAACGAGAGCGCCAGTTTCAAAATGGCGGTTTCCTCGACTGGCGCAGCAAGGGCGACGTGGGGTTTTCGAAGTTCTGTGTTACGTGAAATTGCGTGGTGTTCAGCCCGGCGATTCTTTCTGGGACCTACCGCGTTCGAATCAGATCTCCCTGCAGCTGAAGGAGTGCACAGTGGAAATGTTCGCCGCTCGCAGTGTGTGTGGACGCTGCGATCTGCTCAAAGCTAAGCCTATTCCCACAGTTCATCGCCGACGGACGAACGACTCTAAAAGAAATCACCGAAGTTCTCGCTATGCACTGGACATTAGGGACATGAATTTCATTTCGCGATAGCATTGATAAAAGGTGCCGTTTCCACGGGACGACAGACGGAGGCTTCGTGTTCGAATTTGGCTACGCACTCGTATTCGTAGCCTCTGTACCCCGCTGAAAAGCGCGCTTGACGAGGCAGCTGTGGCTTGGTTTAAGCTGCAATAAAATGATTGTACACTTTTTCTTTTTCAATATTTATTTCCAGGAGCATGGTTGCACTATAAGCACGCGGAATTCTACGGCTCTAGCAAATTTAACCAAGATCACGCGCGGTGTTCACTCGAAAACGTAACGCACAACTAAATTCGGTCCGAGCAGGTCCTTTTTAGCGTACGTTATACTATTGCGTATTGCGTACGCAAGAGCCAGCAACGCTATACTAAAACTGTCTAATAACCATTGGGCCGCGTGTTCGCTTGATTAGAGACTCGCGTGGCAATAGTAATGAGAAGGCGCGGCAATAAGTTGAGAAGAAAACCAAACTCCGAAAAAACCGCAGCAGGAACCGGCAAACGGCTAATGGTAGAGCGCTGGTGACAGAGGGCAATGGAGAACAGAAACGCCGCCGTTCGGCGTACGAACGCGTTCGAATGGGGAGCAGAGACGAAGGCGGCTAGCTTTGAGTCTACCCGCTAGTCGCTCAGAGCAGAGCTCGGTGCAACGACGCCTCAACGCGCTCTCGTCTCTTCTTCCTCAGTTTCGGTCCATATAACTGAAATAGTTAAATGAAGAAAAAAAATATATCAAACGTTTGCCGCTAACCCCAAATATCGTCGCAAAAACACGTCTTGCATACACGGTCTTTATCCCTAGGAGGAAGAAAAATTTTGTTTTAACCACCCAGACTGGCTATCTTTTTTTTTTTTTTTTATTTTTTATTTTTGCTCTTTTGCGCACTTTGTTTGCAACCTGTAAATTCAGAAATTCGCTAGATGATGGACTTGAGGGCCGAGCGGGCAGTATAGAAAAACACGCATAGTGCACGTTTGTTTCGTGCAGCTGGGAGCTTTGAGATCACTCATTTGCCACCAAACGTTTTTTCACCAGTTGGGAACAAATCATACTATCCTCCGGTCGTGAGCATTGACGAGGAAGTGCGCTCCCTTCCAACTAAACGGAAGTGTCTGAACCAGCGTTTAGTGATGAATCGAGGAAGGCCTGGGGTAATATTTCTTGGCGTCTTGACGGCGACTTCACTGCCCCTCAATTTGGGAAGCGATCGAGACATTTTGACAATGCTCCTTGCAATTTTCCGACGATCAGATTATTTAAAAAGAATCTGTCCGAAGCTTGGCTTTGATGTCTCATACGTTCGCAGTTACGCGCTAAGATTACGCCGACTGCGGTGCCTTTATAAGGACGGTAGAAAATAAACGCTCCTTTAATTAACTGGATCAATGTCGCGCTAAAACTAGCGCTTTAGTTGCAAAACAATACATACAAAGGGACTAATTTTGCGAATGTCGATCTAAAAGCCAATAGCGATCGTACACAAAGCGAATAATGGTACAAACAATAAAGAGGGTTTCTGGCGACCCTTTATTGCAGTAGTTTACGAGTACCGCGCGAGCGTCCGAGGCTGACGGGCTCTTCTGTCCCGCAGAGGACTCGTCGGTGTTGGAGGTTCCCCGGTTGACGCTGATCCAGAACCTGGTGCCGCACCAAGTGGTGGTGGAGATGAACGGGCGCCCCGGCGGGCCGGTGTTCCTGGTGCATCCCATCGAGGGCCACGTGGGAGCCCTCTACGAGCTGGCCCGGCAGCTGCCCGTGCGGGTCGTCGGGCTGCAGCGCACGCGCGACGTGCCCACACGCAGCATAGAGGAGCTGGCCTCCATCTACCTCCAGGTGCGCCCGCACGGCCCGCTCTCCCGCCGGCCGGCAGGTGCCTGGCGCCGGGCACGGTGTCGACCGAAAGATTGCAGGGGCACTGCTCAAGACCTTAGTCGCGGTCGCGCTCCTTAGGTGCGATCCACTTATAACGATACCACGTATTACGATCCACCGCTTTTAACAATTAGCTATCGCTGAGATTCTAGCCCAGATGCGTCGATATTCGGTTATAACTAATTAATTTTCTGGTTTTCTCATTGTCGTTATAAGTGGATTGCGGTGTAATACCTCGCACAAAAGACATACTGCAGACAAGTTCGAAGCTTACAAGGCAAACGTGCTCCTGCGCGAGGCGTGTGTGCAGATCGTCCTGTCGCGTTTGCGACGGACACCGCGTCTTTTGTACTAGGTATGGGCAATGCGACTGCAGCTCAAAGGGGCGAAGCAACGATTTTTTCACTTAACATAATAGCGCTCAGAATTTTTCCTTAAAATTTGTAACCTATAGCTGTAAAACACGGCTTAGTTGTTTTGTTTTTTTTTTTTTTTCCACACAATGGCAGTCGCGGAAAGGATTACAAAAAAAAATGCATTCGTCCCCTAGACAGAGTTCCGACATAGATAGGATTCGGCTATTCCCATCATCGTGGCGATCGGGAACGAACCATTACCCGAATGCGTGTTGAGGCGTTGTCACGAGCCTGAATCAAATGCTCGTGTAGTGCTCGCGTACACTGTACGCGAGCACTTAACGTTTACGACAGGGGACCCCGTGGGCAGCCGTTTAGATACCGTCCCTACGGAGATCGCGAATCTAGACTACAAAAACCTGGGGATTGCATCGTTGACGACGCCAACAAAATGGCCACGTGCGCTTGTGCGTCTTGAGCACCCGTCAAAGCTGTCCACGCACGCTGTTGACTTGCGGAAAAAATAGCTGACCGAAAGTATATTGTGGTAACTGTGGTTGAGCATAAAGACAAGGCTGACTTAACTGAGGTTAAGGTTGCCCGTGTAAGTGGGCAATAAAATGCGTTAAATTGACCCATGGGAAACGCCAATCATGTCCCCCATTTGGAAACGCTCCCGCTGACCCCTTCACTTTTCTCTTTTGGCTTTCTCTTTTCCTTCCTCTTTTTCACTTCTTTACGGGGTCAGCATTATCTTTCCGAAATAGGGACGTGTGTGGCATTTCCCAATTTCATGCAAGCGCATTCCCTAAAGATTTACCAATGGATCTTCCTTTAAATCTTAGCCACCTGCTTGGACCAGCGCTAGTACTTGTAAGTCTTGGTTCACAGTCTGTTTCGTAGCAGACACAAGACGAACGCACCTGCAAGTTCGGACTCTCCCCAGCATTTGCGCGTGCATTAGCTTCCGCCCCGTGACGTCACCTCCCTCTCGCCTTTGTCCTTCACTTCTCTCCTCCTCTGTACGCGGCGCGCTTCCCTTTCCACTGTTTTACCCACAGACGGACGTCGTCAGCTTTTCCCTGTCATGCGAGTGCTAATGAAAACGCATCATTAAGCTTCTTGGTCAGTAGCGTTTCGTGCAAGTATTCGCAACTCCAGCCCGCCGCTCGCCCTCTCGCGGACGAACGGAGAACTAGAGGAGTGGGGACGGCAGCGGCAGCGGCGGTGGCGCGGAGACGGTGGCAGGGACTGTCGGCCTTCATGCGTGAAGCCGTTTTACTGAAAAAAGTGAGCGCGTTAAAAAAGGAATTCTTTTGCTCCGCCTTGCAACAACGTTGTACAAAAAAGAGATTTCTAACTTTGTTAGTAATTTTTCGTGTATCGCATACGCTGCGGATATCTGGTCTTGTGCATGGTCCCCAGCTGACTCTGCGCTCAACGTGGTGGCAAACGCTCCCTCCAATCATAAAAAACTCTATTGTACGGTGTACGAAAAGTCTATTTTTTGCCAGAAGTAGGAGAATTCTCTTCGCGCAACGTTATGTCGAGCAATACAAATCAGTAATCGCTTCTCGTTTGAAGGCCGCTACAGTGAACATGACCATTTATTCCAAGCACTTTAAAAAACAGAATATCCGTACTTTCTTTCAGGTAATTAGAAAGCAAATAAATAAATGCTCTAAGCATTTTAAGCGCGTCTGTGTTGGCCAGCCGTTCGTGGCGAGAGCTTATAGAACACGCAGTTTTGGCCAGAGGGACCGCAACGTTGCAAATAACATGGTACAAAAAATGTGCGGTATATTAAAATATTAATTTTCATAGAGCAATAAATAAAACCCCTAACCACGCCGACGATGTTAATAGACAGTTTTTGCATAGCGTACGACACCCCTGAACTTCAGTTGGACGTACAGCGCACTGACGTGCAACCGATGCTGCCAACTTTCACGAGCGGCTTGACAGCGGCGAGTTGTGCAACTTATTCAAATAGCTTAAGTAAGTGTAGATGACTGTAAGAAGAAAAAAAAGTAATTGGTGTTTTCTTGGCCCTACAGCAAAATCTCGGTGTCTTTTTTTTGTTGTTTTTTTTTCTTTTTTTTCTTTTTTTCGGTACTTTTTGATGCGTACTTTAGCTGTTTAATGTCTTATGTTGGGCCGTCATCAAGCCTCTCGTAAAAGTTGGGGCCGTCAGTTTGGCGTCAGTGCGCTGCACGGCGAACTGAAGTTTTTGAGTGTCGCATATGTGACAAGGGGTGTAAGGACTACAAACTTTTTTTTAGAGTGATGAGCATGGCAACGCTTCTGACGGGCACTGAAAATTTTGCTTCAAAGGCGCAGCGCGAGCTTCCGGTTGTAATGCGACACCGCACGGTAGCCTGCACTAACAAGCTTTCTATCAATAACCATAAAGCAGTTTGATCACGTGTGGCAATACACTAAAACCGAGACGGTGAGCAGCGAGTTGTGAGCCTGTGACGCGGAGACACCAATACTGTGAACGCTGCTCTTCCGAAGCTTGACGGTCACCGTTCGCGGCTCACTTTTGTAGGGTTTTCGTCCGATTCCCCGGGCCCCTGTCTCCGGATGAACGTGACACAGCAACGCATAGCTCTCGGCAGAAGGGGTTTATTCCACTCACATTCTGCTGGGGGTTTCAGGATCGGGACAGGTGATCGAGGGAGCCTGGAGGGGGTGCGCCGCCACTGTATGCTGCATGCCGATCGTCCGTGCGGTGCTAGTCCACACCGCATCCTGTGGACGTCGCCGTCGAGGGTCAAATCCGGGGTCTAAGTCCGGACCATGTCACCGGGCCATCGCCCGAGCCGGCGGCGCGGTCGCCACCAGCGCGAACGTCCGTCATGGCCCGTTTCCCGCGCCAGAGTCCCCTTTTCCAATCTCCCGTCGTCCGTCGTCCCAGCTTCCCCCGTTCCCGCCGTCGCCGCGCACCAGACCGGCGGGGGCCTCTTGTTTCCCATCGTGGGCTATCTCTCGCTGGAGCTCCCCGTCTGGCTCTGCCGCGTCCCGAGCAGGGCCTCGGGCGCCGACGCTGTCCGGGAGGGGGGGCCTATGATGTCCATCGCTGACACCGCCAATGTCTTCAAGATGGGTCCCGAGGGAGGAGGCGCTCGGGAACCAAATCTCAAAGGCGCCGTCTTTGCCACGGAGGGGACCGAAAACGAGTCTCAAAGGCGCCGGCGTCCGGTTCTCGACCAGAAGGGGGCTGACGGGACCCCACACTTTTTAGAACACGAATGGCCAAGCAAAGCGTAAACATGATATCTTCATCACCCTCAAAATATTCTGCCACAAACAATAGCGTGGCCGGTGCCTAAAACGCGCTCGCTCACCACAAAGCTTCGCAATTTGAGGTTTCTGCAACCTTTAAGTATCAGCATGCTATTTTTCCTAACGTGCATCAGCATCTGCGTCATCTGTAACATGATCCTTCCCTGACCGCTTCGCATTTGTAGACAAATAAATCATTTTTACCGCGCTGAACAGCGACAGCGAGCAGGCTCACGGGATATGCTGGAGAATCTATCCCCGCCTCTTCCGCCATCTTCGAACGACCGCCCCTCCACCTAGAGGGCGTTGGAGTTGCGAATACGTGTGTTTCGTTAGTAGAGAAAATAAGGTAGTCGTACGACTCATTCTTGCTTTGCCGCAAGAGGGCCGCCCGTAAGCGATCGCGATAGTTCAAACTCGGATATATCCTTCTTCTGGTTAATTCGAACACATTAAAACAAATTGTTGTTCCGCTATGTTTGTAATACATTCAAAAGCCGTTTAATTCGAACGGCACTTTCGTGCAAGTAATTGCTTTTCTTCCCGTGGCCCTGCAGAACGGCAACACCCGCGGAGCTTGCTTCCGCGTGTGTTGCTTCTCCGCAGTGCACCATTGCTCGGTGAGTAGCGTGCTCAATGGGGCTCAAGCAGGGCACACGTGAGCTATGAAAACGGGCACCACGCGGAAATTTCCATAGCAACTTGGGCGGACACTGCGACGCGGTGCCATGGCATAGGTCCACATCACAGCCTCCGCGCAAGTTGCCATGAAACCGCCGCGCGGTGTTCGTTTTCATCGCTCATGTGTCCCCTTCCTAAAAGGTAACATTAGACAACTTCTTGACGCAATGAACAAACCTAGTTTTGTTTTGAGTTTTCGGATGCTGTCTAAACAGTTCACGGTAAACAACATTTTTCAGGGATAAGTAAAGTTATGTCGTAAATTTCACAACTGTTGAATGCGTGGACACTTGCTTATTATAAGTAGGCCTATCCAGAGAAAATCATCAGATGTCTGAATTGTACGTGTACCCATTCATTTGGAGCGATGTATTTTTATCTCGCATCATATTTAGATGAATTTCTGACAATTCAAACTTCCGATAATTCAGACAAAATCCTTGTCTTCCTGGAGTTTGAAATAATGTGTCTACCGAAGTCCCACCTCCGTGGTCTCACGTGGCCCTCCCCCTTTGTGCAGCGGCTAGTGGAGGTGCAGCCCCAGGGGCCGTACCACATTGTGGGCTACTCCTTTGGTGCCACGGTGGCCTTTGAGATGGCGGTGCAGCTGCAGGGGGCGGGGGCCCCCGTGGGCAGCCTGGTGTTCCTCGACGGGGCGCCCAAGTACATCGGCGTGCACATGGGGCACCACCGCAGCCGATTCACCGACGCCAACGAGGAGGAGGCCACTATCCTCTGCGCCTTTCTCGTGCGATACCTCGACATCGACTTCGTCCAGGTGGGTGCCCTTGCGAGGGCAAAGCTGGGCCTACACTACCCTACCCTAGTTTTAACCTAACCTAACCCTTACCTAAACCAGAGTGCCCGGAATATTCTCCGACCGCTGTGTTTCAAAAGACTCCGAAAGTGGTCCCTCGATTTCCGCCCTACGATGTGGTAGAAGTGTCCTGCTGTTGCCTGCTGCGATCCTGGCAGAGGCACAGAAATGGGGGTTTGTGCGGCAAACGCCCGTTGTGCTGCAGGCCGCTCTGCAGACAGAAAGTCTATGGAGACCGGAGCAGACGCGAGATGGGTTGCCACGTCCATAACAAGACTCGCATCCGCTCACTGTTTTCGGTGGTATTTTTACGACCAACCGGCAGGATCGTGACACAGCGGATCCTGACGTAATTTATTGCCACCTTCAAATCGCTCTCGACGCATGGGTGGTAAGGACGATGAACACGCAAGTCGCAGATGCGTTCGAGGCACTGTACCTAAACCCATAGGCAGAAAGTTCTCAATTTCCCTGAGGGCACGGGGGGTAAAAACTGGATAAAGTAGGATAAGCATGCTGACCGCATGAGACCTAAACAAATGTCTGCTTTTGTTTTCCTATTATTTAGCTATCATTGCAGTTGTGATCAATGACTTGCGTGGTTCAAGCGCACTGACTGACAGTAATGGATTGTTTCAGCGTTTGGGAAAACAGAATAGAGATTACGAGACGTACCATGTCGTCTACTTCCGTAGGCTGCAGGTCCGCCGGAGATGACACTTCCAATGGCTTTCGAAGAAATTTCCAACACTAGACTTTTTCGTATTTGCTAATACTACGTAGGGTCTTCGAACAGGACTGCCCGTATAGTTAAATAAATTATCCACTCACCAGCTCTGGTCATTTATTGACCAGAGCTGGCGAGTGGATAATTTTTTTATTTATCCACTGGACTCCAGCTATCGATATGTGCGTGCACCTGGGCGCACAGATAACTTTTTTTATTTCTCAACTGAGCAAAACCTATCGATATGTGCGGCCATCCGGGCGAACAGATAAGATTAAGGAGGTACACCCAGAGGTTCCGGAAGCGATGGTACTAGCTTTTCCAAAAAGCTCGGGAAAGGGGACGGGGGGAAAGAGGGAGGGGTGAAGAGGGGCTCGGGCCACCGAGCCCTCCCCCCCCCCCCCTTCCTCGTAGTCAGCGCCTATGCCTGAACCTAATCTAAATCCTTTTCTTTCTACCCTGATCTCCCCCTTCCTCCTAAGGCCACCATCCATCCTTCAAAGCGCCATCTAGAGGCCGTAATTCGATGCTATTTATGGTGAAGCACCATATAAATGCTGCCCTTCATTACCTGTGTATCCTATAGTTATCATCACAGTCAACTCTACACCGTGGCACTAATTCAGACGGCGGAACCTTTGGGGGAGAGAGAGGCATGTGGAGGCAGTGTCTATGGTCGTCGGCGTCTGCTTTGGCTGTTAACCGCGGCAAGGGTGTTAACCTTATTTCTTGTGGAAAGAGCGCTCTACCTCGACATGTGGCAAAGTAAATTTACTACCAAACTACACCTTCATCGAGGGCCAGGAGAAAGAGTGGGAGCCTCCAGAGTGCACTCTTAGGAGACCCTACGAGTCGATTACCGTTCCGTCTTTCATAAACATAGTGTTCATACAGAGCGCAAGTCGGCGAAAATATGAAGCCTGGAATCCGTCTGCGACTTGTTTGTTTAGCGTCCTATTCTTCCTATGCATCAAGAGTGGTCCTGAAGTGACAGCATGTGATGTCGCAAAGTCCGGAGTGTCGCGCTGCCGGATGTCGCGATCCTGGCAGTTAGATGTAGGAGACCCGCCATTAGGCACGAGACCGTGAGCGTCGCCGTCGTCGCGTCGTCGGAACTCCCGGCTGCCGAGGCTTCGTGGAATGCTAGAGAGCGAGCCGCGGCGGTACGGGCGTTTGCTTCCTCCAGCCCTGCAGCTGTGACACTGCCAGGATTGTGGCCGGCGACAGCGGGACACTTTTATGCCCCATCCACACTGAAAGCGGATCCGCGTTCGCGAAGCGGTTGCGGATGTGGTTCGCGAGCAATCCCGTTTAGACACACCGAGAGGCGGTTGGCGGTTGGCGGTTTCTCGGCGATCACGCGTGATCCTTTCAGAGTTGCGTTTGGCGACCCTGAATTACAATCCAAAATTCACTTTAATTCGCGGTCCAAAAGCAACATTTTGCTATTTTGGCACTGTGAATATTTTTCTTCAAGTTGTTCGCACACATTACGAGTTCAGGCAGCGAAAAGCGAGACATGGACCGAGAAACTTGCCTGACATTCCCTCGACTTCGCCCACAAGCCTTGCTGACTCACAAAAGAATGTTCTCGACCTTTACTCCAAAGTGGACCCTTCGCGCATGAGTAGGCTGACCTTGTTTTAGAGATAGAGGGCCAGTTTTCTCCCCTCTTTGTTGGCTCTCATCATTTTCAAAAATAAGAGTGGTGGGATGGACCGCGGTGTGGGAGAATGTGTTCGGTGCTAGCTGGATGTGGCTTCGTTGGTGGCGTACTCAACTCGTCACTCACACGTCGATCGAGTGTACTCTTTGTTTCACATTAAGCTCAGATAAACGCCATATGCATTACCACTGTATCATCTGGTATGTTCACTTTGTTCCTTGAGTATGTTCCCTTTATTTCGTTTGTTAGTAATAAACGTTACAGGTCGATCAAGGGCAGGTACCCTGCCCACTCCGCGGTATAGCGTTGGCTACGCAATCAGGCTCACGACGTCTCTATCGGCTTTCGTGGTGGTCATGCATGGTGTCGAAAGCTTTCAATAGTTCGCGCGACTATCTTAGTGGGTGCGAAAGCTGACACTTCGGTCGATCAGGGGCGGGTTCCGACGTTCTACGGGCAGAGACTAACAAGGCAGCGAACTTCGGGCTCCGGCACCCGGAATAACAAACAAACTCTTACCCGAACCAAATCTCCGGTGCGAAGCCCGTTAAGATTACGAGTCAATTCTTTTCGTGGTGGATTCAAGTGACGGACGTGAGCATCGCGTTTCTCCGTTGATTTGTCTGATGTAACGCTAGGAGTAGAGCGCCTTAGACGCCTCTCCAGTGACAGCTGCCATCTTGTTTCCAAAGTCACTGGCGTCACGTGAGCGTCGCGTTGCGATTGTTGGCCGCTTTGCGGTTCGTGTAAGCGGTTGGGAAAAATCGGTCCCGAAGCGGTTGGCAAAACCGCGCTCCAACCGCTCGATCCCAGCCGCTTTGTGGTTGAGAACGCACGGATCCGCTTCACGTTTGCGGATCCGCTTCCCGTATGAATGCGCCATTAGGACGTCGTCGGGCGGAAGCGGAGAGACCGCTTTGTTGGGTGCGGTGAACGCGCACTGATCGGCGATGCAGTCCGGGCATCGTAGCGAGATGTCTCGCGGAGATGAGTGTTTTGTGCGACATGTTCTGCGTGCGGTCGCAGGCGAAGCGGCAGATGGTGCAGTACCCGACGTGGGAAGCGAAGCAGGAGGTGGCCACGGACCTGCTGCTGGAGGGCATCCCCGACGTGCGCCCCAGCCGGGAGGACGTGACCCTGGCTACGAGCGCCTTGTACCACTTCATCAAGGCCGGCAGCGAATACGTCCCCATGTCCAAGTTCCGGGGGGACGTCACCCTGGTCAAGCCATCCAGGCCGAACAAACTGACCATGAAGCTGCCTCCTGACTACGGCCTCTCCGAGGTGCGCGGCGTTCGGCGCCGGTTCTCGCCCGTTTTTGGAATTTGCGCCCGGTAGCGCCTTAAAGGCTGACAAGCGGCCAGAAAGGGGGGAACTCGATTCCTGCTTTCAATTCGAGGAGGGGGCAGACCGTCCTCCGTTCTGCGGGAAGTGCTTGAGATACAAGCTCCTGTGGGGAGAGGACGAGAAGTGTGCGAGAGAGAATGTAGAGAAGGAAACTGGGAACCGGTTTTGTTTTCGGCAGAATTCCTTTAAGAAGGCCTATGTTGGCCTTTAAGCCGCAGCCACGTTGCTCGTTCATGGTACAAAAAGGCATGGTGGTCGTTGCAGACGCGAAGACAGAATTACCTGCAGACACGCCTCAGATGTATCGTGTCTGCAGGTAATTCTGCAAACTGCCTTTTGTGCATTAGCAGTTGGACCGCAGCGTCAAGGCTCGTCCATAAACTTGCGACTACTTGCAACCCAGTGCGTTGCGAGTCTTTGCGATCCTTCACAACCAGGCTACACACTGCTGCCAATAGCCGTGGATCACTCGCGGCATTCGTATATTTACTTGTAAGCAGTGAGAGAGTGCAGGCGAGCTGGTATTCAATCGACATCTTGTAAACCCTGAGATGGGGAACGATAAAAAAAACGGACGAACACAACAGATTTTGTTGTGTTCGTCCGTTTTTTTTATCGTTCCCCATCTCAGGGTTTACAAGATGTCTATATTTACTGCTTTTTCGCACATCATTTTTTTACTATTGGTTTGAAATACTTCTGACATTTTATTTTAAAAAAAACACATTTCTTATAGTACGCACGTTTGACCTCGCAAACACTGTAAAAGTTTCGTTCTCGAAAAATGCAGTTCCAAGGTTGCCTCATAGATGGCGCCAGCGTGCCAGTGTATTTTCTGGTTGTAAGATATCGCGAGAGGTTGTAATGCTGTCGGTCGTAACCAGTCGTGAGTGTGTGAACCGGCCTTTAAGTGGAAGGTCCGACGCAACGGCGTTAAGGATTGAAATTTTGAAAAAAATTTACGCTAGCTCGATCATGCTGACAAAGATCGGGGCACAGAATCTGCTGAGCTATCACATGCATAAAGTATGTTGGTTGTACTTGCTTTCCGTGTGTGATCCGGGGGGGGGGGGGGGGGGGGGGGAGGGGGGGGACGCTGCGTTTAGAGTTAGCTCTACCAGTGTCCCAAAGTCTTCAATGTTTGCCACGTTCAGCTTTATATCGCTATTACGGTTATAATACTCGGAAAGTTCTGAATGTTGGTGAAATGATCACGGACTAACGATAAATACGCAAAGTCTGGGTTGGCTGTGCCTCACGCGTTTGCCGTTTCTGCGCCACCTTTCGCCCATCCGTAACATTCGAGCACGGTCGTTCCTCGGGTGTAAATTAATTGGGCAAAGAACCGGGGCATGAAAGATTCCAGCGAACGATAGAGTGCGGCTAAGCACTAGAACGGAATGGTATAGCTTGGCAGAGCTATGCCCATACATTGTTCACCCCTAAGCTGACAATGGGGCGAGGCCTACATGCTCGACGAACCTATCGCAGTGATGGAAGTGGCATTTGACTTTTTGGAGCTAGTTCTCTAGCAGACACTGACGCTTTTGGAGCAGATGCTAATATCTGTTACCGCGTCCCTTTAATATAAAAAGTGGTTGCATCTCTAAATGAATTTATTTACGATAGTGATCGAGGGTTCCTTTTTGAGACTGGAGCATATCACTTGTTACCTTTTGTGATAATAATGGATGGGATGCAAAAGGAATAGTCTTCTTTTTAGAGATAGGGATCTGGTGAGAGTAGGATTCATTTACAATGGGTGCTGAAAAAAGGCTAAATGTGAACCGTAGCGTAAGACTTCGTTAAGGTAAAACTTTTCTCCCTCCCCATTTTAGTTGGTAGTTCATTTAGCCTGGAAATGTAATTTCCGTAAAATTCCAGCAAGAACCAGCATATCCGCTAACGCATGTATAAAAATGCGTCCACTAAGTAACGAACCTGCCAAACTCAACCCTAATATCAAAAATGCAAAAAAAATGTATTCATAAATATTATAAAAACTTACTCTCGGCTAAGTTTTTCCATTTTATTTTATGAATTAGTTTACAATTAGGGAAGAGAAGGTGGACCTGTAATAATTCTGAGCATGATTTGCGTGCCCATCGCGCTAACCCAGATGCTTTCCCAAGTCATGCGCTGCTCCTATGCTCCTAGCACTCGTGTGCAAAGTGGTGAAGCTCGACACAGGCACGGTGGTGAGAGTTGAAGGTAGGCGTGAGTGGCACAAGTACCACGGTACTCTGCAGTGACGGCACGAAGGCATGTGGCCGATGTGATAATCGAGTGACCCGGTCAGGAGCATACGACCCTGGTTCTGTATTATCACAGTAGCCGCAATCCTGGTATTCTGTAAAGTTTTCTGGGAAGTTCTAGTTCCCGAAATCGCCGACATCCTCCGCAAATTTAGACGATGTAGCAGTTGATGCGCACCATCAATGGATCTGGCCGAGTGATTCGCAGCATTAAAGCGCGACAACGTGCCATTCGTCATCTCCTTGTACGTGTTCTTTCATCGGCTCAACCAATCAAGTGCAGAAAATGTCCCGTGACTTGCACTTTTCTTTAACTTTGATAATATTAGGGACAACGAGTAACAACGTAATAATGTTTTTGCTTTAAACCCATCTCGGCGCAGGTGTGTGCAATTTCCCTCTCCGCTCCCCTTTCGTCACCCGGCTTTGCTCTCTGTGCGTGGGTATGGGCGGGGTGATCACGTGGCAAAAGATAAGCGTAAGATTGATCCAACGAGCATGCGGCTTCCACCGATTTGTCAGCTGTGGGTAAATGAAGTATAGTGAACGCGGCTGAATTGGAAGCTGTAATATATCGGAATACTGCGGGCATACGAGCCTGGGCCATCTTCGTTGCACTTGTCTGAATACACCCTTTCCTAATCCAGGGTTGTCGACGCATTGTTTCCAGAGGCCGATTGTTTCCTGGCATTGGCTGAACGTCCTTGGTTTTTCTCGCAGTGCTGCGAAGGCAATGTCGACATCCACGTGGTGGAGGGACTCCACGAAAACTTCATCCTGGGCAAAGGTGCGCTGGAGTGTGCCAACCTGGTTGCCCAACAAGTTGGCGCGGCGTAGCTCGGCCTGACGCCGGGCCGGCCCGCTCATTCCAAAGCGTCGGCATCCCCAGGGTGCTGCGGCGGGGTGGTCCTCGCTGCCAATTGGCTGTTTTCGTCGTGTTGACCCTCCGGTGCTCGACCCCCTTCTTTTCTACAGCAGACAGTCGACACGAACAGCATTTTCGCCACCACTGCGTATTTATGTAGACTCATATTGTAGCTTTCTTTATTGTGTTGCCCCCAATAAAGAGCTATTGAATCGCGGAATGCTTGTGGCATAATGGAACTCGCAGTGCATATATCTTCCGCCTCGAAAGAAACCGGTGTAAAAATGCTTCCGAGAATTTGCAATGTTTCAGCTTCTTACCAGCGCATCACCTTGTGGACATGGATGCTTCCTGCAGGCGTGGGCGCCACCGCTTTCCTCCCCGGCATCCCCTCTTACTGGGACTAGCACAGCTTCTGTGGAGCCAGTGGCTTTGAGTGATCAGTGCGTCCTTATATATTTAACATTATAGATGTTGCGGTGTCACACAGACACGAGAAGTGTTGTTAAAGTGGGAAATCTAAACGGCGTTAAGTACGCTTTGCCTTCATTGTGCAAGGTTCAATCTGATAGGAAGCGCTAGTGATTGAGACTCTTTTTTTTCATTGAAAGTTGTGGCGTGTGGGCGTCATTAGCGAACCACCCGGTTAGGTCAAAATGCAAAGATTAGTGACACAAATGTGAGCGTATGTTAACCGTAGCCATCTGTTATTCTTCCATCCCCTCTACCGTCCCCCCCCCCCCCCCCCCCCGTTCTTTCCTTCCAAATTGCTCCTCGCCACCCTAGTCCTCTACAGCCGAGCACGTAAATGGGTGTCAGACCTCCAAGGCGTGCAATCGACCCACGACGAGATCGGTGGAAAAGATGGCCATCATGCCAACTACCGAGGCGTTGGTCAATATTACCGCAAAAGACCACGTCACCATGCAAGACACCGGTAGCCATCGATATCTGCTCAACTTGATCGACTTGATTTGTGGTTCCAACATGGTGTTGTAAGGGTTACCGAAAAAAGTAACGACATACGCCACTCCTGACTTGAAAGAAAAAATACCGCATTACCGTCCTGCGTTACTTCAAAATTAAAGGAACGCGTTAGCGTTAACGTTACTGATTAAAAGTAACGCAGGTTACTTTTGGCGTTACATTTTTAACTTATGAATGAACACGGTTTACTGTTTAGACGATACACGCACACATACGCGCCATATTTTGAGAAATACTATTATGTCCATGCTGAAACTGAACATCGTTAGTTTATTTTTCTTACGGTTTCACGTAAATACTCACAAAAAACGCAGAGAAAAACGCAAAAGTCATAAATTCACATGGCTTGGCACTTAGACACACCAAAAAATTCAATTTTTTAAACCTTGGGAAGAAAAAGTAACTAGTAAGATAACTTCGTTACCCATTACTTGAAATAGGTGGCGTAAATACGTTGCTCATTACTGTTGCGAAGAGGTAACGAGTAGGTTACATGTTGTCGATAACTTTACCGGTAACGGCGTTACTTGGAAGGTATTACCGCCCCCCGCACTACTCCAGCAGCAGTCACTTTGACGTCTACGAAGGAGGTCATCGCTCACCTCTTCCAGGTGTTCTATCGCTACGGAGCGCCCGACCACTGCCTCAGGGACCACGGAGGCGCCTTCAACTCTCACGAGTTTCTACTCTTCATGCGATTCCACGGCGTCACCATTCACCATTCCGCGGCTTACTGCGCAGCCAGTAACTGCTTAGTTGAGGGCAGCGACGGTACGCTCGTGGCCGTCCTTCGTAACCTCTGCAAGTCGGATCCCAGACTTGGGATACACGCCTTCAAGAGGCAGCCCTTCGCCGTCAACACTACCTACAACGCATCGTCAAAACTTTCACCCTTCGCGCTGCTCCGCGGCTACGTCCCGAAAATGCCTCATTAAAAGCATGAGCCCAAAAACGCGGAGAGCATGCACGAGCGCTTGCTCAGATTATGCGCCGACCGAACAGACGCACTTGAACGGAGTTAAGACGCCCATCTTTCATGTAAAGTCATTCACGATCGTTCCCACAGGGATGGTAGGGACTTGCAGCCCGGATACACCGTACGGATTCGCCGCCGGCAACCCGCGTCCGACGAAATATAAAAGTTGCCCCCCCCCCCCCACCCCCCCCCCCCCCCTCCCCGGTTTAAGGGCCTCTGAGGAAATCGTTGGGAAACTCCACGAACGTGACATTCCGCGTTCGACCGCTGCTTGCCTTCGGTAACACAAATTCGGCCAACGAAAGCACGGTTCACTGCTCACGGGTGAAGAAACATTCGCAGCCATATCTAGCTCCAACTCTCACAGACCCCCATGTCGGTAATCTATCAGCGTCATCGCCAACCCTCCTTTTTGACCCGACACAACATGAGCCGGAACTCCCCACACCCGTGCCTTGCCTGGACATCAACAACATGCAAGACTATCCAACAAGCCGCAAAACACCCGTCGCTGAGTCACCGTGCCCCGCATTCTGCACTCTGCGCCTGCGCCTACAAGTCATTAATATATCCATAGAGCAGTTTCACTATTTCGCTTGCCATTAGTTGTTTCAAAGCTTTATATAGCCACGTTGTTACATAAGAATACCTATAAGAGCTGCGCCTTCCGCTTTGCCATTTGTTTTATCTTCACAGCCACGCGGACGTGGCCTATAGAAGTGGGGTGGGATGTGAGCATATGTTAACCGTAGCCATCCCGTTCTCCTCGTCCTTCGTTCTAACCATCGCCCAAATGGAAACACCAGCCAGGTCGACTTTGCTGGACAGCTTCAGCAGCCGACTTCTTTGCTGCAGCTGTAACCTTATCCCTCTCTTCATAAACTAGCCTCACTTTTGCCCTCGCCCCTTCCCGCTGGCATCGCCTCTTCGCCTCAAGAGTCTCCAAGCCCGTGTTCTTCTCTTCCCCCCAGCTGCTTCCGCCCGTCCCACTAACTCAGACAGACCTACCTTTTCCGTAGTAAACAATTATCTTAGTCTTTAAGCTTGTTCCTTCTCCCTGAGGCCTACCAACGGCCCTCACGCAATTAAGTTAGTGACTTGAGCTGAAATTTAATTAAGTTGCAGACACAGCTAGACCCTTGGAAATGTCTTATTGCAGTTGCTGTCAAAACTTGTATACATTTCAAACATCACGCGACGTCGCTGAGCTGTGCTGAAGCAATATGCTTACTCTCTACGTATCTACACTTCACCAAAATGCGAAGAATCTGCCTAACATTGTGCCAAGGGACATTTTCACTCGTTCAATGAGCTCGGACATCTTTGCACAGACGGATCGTTAAGTAGGCATGTGCATAATTTTGAAGCTTTAGATCAACGCTTCCAATTTAGTATCACGATTCTAAAACTACTTACTGATCTACCAACTCTGCAGCTTCCGTCCTCGTGAAGTTTTTCGCCATAAGCGACACTGGTGCAAATAAAAGGAAAAAACAAAAATGAAAAAATGGGCCGAAATATATGCGGACCTGAAACGGTGTTAGGGCTACCGGATAAATGGTGCCACTGAGTTTGTTGTCAAACAGAAAAGGGCGACTAGAGAACGACGTCTATTTTCAATAGGTGCTACGTCACGCTGTACAGCGTGACGTAGCACCTAGCAACTGAGGTGCAGTGGGGGGTGACGGGGGCTATGGCGTACGTACTCGTGCCGCCACCAGCGTGTAGGTGTGGCCCAAGGCGGGTCAATATTGTCGCGGAGAAAATAGGAACCCTCTTTTCCGTTGAGGAAAGACACTGATGTTAACAAATAACGGTTTATTTAAGGGATATGAGATAGGCTCTTTTGTAACAAATATGGAGAATTCGTCAATGAATGCTGGGGGGAATACTTTTAACCTTTGGCGACTTCCCCTGCCGTCCTCCTCAACCACACACCCACAGCCAAACTCGACAAACAAGGATTCACACAAAGGCGGGCGAGCCGAACTCCTCCACGGCCGTAAGGGATCCCAAGTTGTAATAAGGTGGAAAACTGGGCCAGTTGGTTGATGTTATACTGTTTTTTCCCCATCATCGATCCCAAGTTTGCGAGTTAGAGGGTGGAAGACTCCACAGCCGAAGAAGGGTCGGACGTACAGGTTTCTCACCAGAGGCAGGATGATGTTCTCGGCAGGCACGTAGCCAGTGGAGGGGGGGGAGCCCATGGAGCCCGTTCACCCCCCCCCCCCCACCCAAATATTTCATTTTGCTGGGACCTCCTCTTCTCCGTCCCCCTCATAGAGCATTTTGTCATGGGCGCCCCCCCCCCCCCCCTCGAAACAAAATCCTGGCTACGTGCCTGTAGCAACAAGTTGCCCGACTGTAGGACAACGTGTTGTGTTGCTGTTGCCGCCATGTTGCCTCAGTGTAACAGGGCCTTTAAGAAGGACATAGGCTTTACAGACCATAGTATTCGCTTTCTATACGTTCCCACCGAAACAGACATTTCTTATGATTTATTCATGTTGATAGGCCTACACAGCCCCTGGAGATGCCGGATGACTGACATTAATGTAGACACGCCACGCACCACTAAATCCATTTTTCTAGAAGAAATATCGAAAGTAGGAAGTGTTTACGAAGCTCACCAGCCAGTGTCTGAATGTTTTCCAAATGTTTAATATCTGGAAATGGGTGAGATTATTACGTGCTTCGAAACGTTGTTTGTTAGTGTCTGTGAAGTGCCATGAGCAAAAATGTGCTCCAGGACTTTGGTTCGGTTAGACAGTCATCTTAGCTTTTCACCTCGTTTCTATCACCATGTGTATAGTCATCTCTAAAGCCTTGCATAGCCGCGGATTATCCGCGGATATCCGCGGATATCCGCAGATATCCGCAGATATCCGCAGATATCCGCAGTAAACTGGCGAATGCGGATAAAAATTAGACGGATTTTGGCGGATTGCGGATCGGATGGGGATGTCAGGGGCTGCGGATGCGGATATCCGCGGATCCTAATCAAAATTT